AGATGTAGCCAATGGGCTTTGGATCCGTGCACATAAGGCTTCGGCCTGAACCACGTAAATCTTGTGTTATCTCTATTCTCTCTTCTTCTCTCTCCATTATATGCTCCCACGAATTCTAACAAGGGATCCATCAATTACATATCTCATCTCATGAATCACAGAGAGCAACCCTTTTTTCTCCCCTAACCAGTTCCTGTCATTGTGCAGGTTAGGGAATATGCCGACATCACCTTCTTGGTGTATCAATCCCCACTAACGATGGGTGTCTCATCGCATAGTAGCCGGTATCAGTAAAGCAATGGCCAATATTCTTATCAATGTAACAATACAATACACACTACCAATGGATGTCCCATTGCGTAGTGGTCATCATTAAGGCCTCTTTCCATCCTCGAGCATTCAATTCATTCATGTCAATTCAGTGCCTCATAACAGATAAATCACATTCTCATCATATCAGTATGGCAATTAACATGAAACATTCATTACATGAATCGTAGCATAATATTTACACATGGATATCATCAACGACATATTGGCACTTATCATGAAACTTTCATCACGAAATAATCACATCAATATGGCACTTATTATTTTTCACATAGCACATTGTTGTGGAGCATCATTCACATAACCTTATGGCATATGCATGGCAATTATCATATAGCATTCATACTTGTCACTTATCAAGGGAATTTTAGTGCTTCAATTAATAGCTAGATGAGAAAATTTCAGTATTTCACTTATCACGGAAATCAGAGCTCATTAGTTTGGTCGAAAATTCAATTCTAATCAAATAATAGTTGCTGAAAAACAGTGAGCAATGACACACTCACGCATTTTAGGGGTATAACTCAAAATTTATGCGAAATTTCGAAAATCTCAAAACATGTAACTTTAAGTCTATTCATAGGGTTTTCCAACTGTGGTAATTTGAGGACGTTTGGATGTCGTTTGCCGTGCCAAAAGTGCAGCCCAACAAAAGTCACAGTTGCTGGAATTTACAGCGATTGTGAGCAGTGACATGTCTCACGTTTTAGAACATATCTTTTGATCCATGTGACAATTTATCATGATACAAAAAGAAAACTTTAATTAGACATGTATATCTTTCATTTAAAATCAATTTGGGCCCATTCGGGCTATGTTGGTCAGCGAAAAGCACAGGGCAAAAGCCCACACAGTTGCTGAAAAATCTCCTTCCCTCAAGCATTAACATGCCATCACCATAATATACACCATCTTATAGATCGACTTAAAACATAATTTTAGTCTTAATCATATCAAGTAAACTTGTAAGTTTGGCAAGAAAATAACTCTATAATTTTTTCAAAATTCATTGGCCATGTTTAAGCATTTATTCCACTTCATTTTTTGTCCACTCTACAATCGTTCATTCTATCAGAGTTATCTCATTCAAGTGAATCTAAGGGAGGCATAGCATTAAATCCACTTACCTAAAGGTAGCGGTGCCCCTAAACTTCCTTGCGCAGGTCTCCCCTTGCTCCCCCATGGCAGCCTCACTCTTGGATTCTCACGCGCAGGTCGCCCTAGCCCAAGATGCCAGCTTCCCAATGGCGGCAGCATAAAGCTCGCACTAGGCGCTGGAGAGAAAAAGTTTGAGGGGAAAGAAAGGGAAGGCACACGATGGTGGGGAAGGGCATGATTTATAGGCGCATGCGTAGGTAAGATTCCCTGTGGCTAACGTCGTGGTAGGTGGGGAAAAAGGGATGTGGCTGGTATCACTCGTGCGGCGCGGCGTTGACAAATTCGGTGCAACACTAACAAATTCGGTGCGACGCTGACGCTGTTGGCGGTTGTACCAGGTTGATCGAACGCACACGGCGTTACCCTCTAGTCGCACGGGGCGATGCTCACACGGCTGTGACACTTGCTGTGATGCCCATCTCTATTCCACACGATGTTGGTCACTCACTCACGTGGCGCTCCTTCGTCTTCATGCTCAGCGTTACATCTTCCGCCTTTCACGCGCATTAGCCCAGGCGGCGTTACTCCAAACGGCGATGCTAAGGCTTCTCCGCTCTCTCTCTCTCTCAAATTCTCAGACAACGCTACCTCACGCCGTGCATGACGTTCCTCCTTATTTTCACGGCAATGCCTCCATTCTCCCATGGCGTTAGTCTGGCCTGCGCACGGCATTAACCCACCCACTTTTTGTTGCCTCTTTACCTCGGACGACGATAAGTTCAATTGCACAGTCGGTGTTGCCCAAGCTTACATGCGGCAGTGCCTCCTCACGCACACGGCATCAACCCTTATACACGGGAAAATGCCCTCACTTGCACGCGGTGTTGCCTCCATGTTTCATGGACGGCACTAGGTCAAAACACACGGACGATGCTATCCTTCGCCCCTAGCGCCGGCCGTGTGCTTCCGTCTCTTTTGACTTCCCTCTCTCTACTGCCGCGAGTGATCAGGCTCAATTGAATTGTGGCCCTTACATCAAGGTTTGAAAATAGAGTATCTTGTAACGCATTTTTAGGCCGTCAATTTTCACGATTTTCAAGTTTTCATAGATTTGCTCGATCTACACTATGTTTTAAGCTTTAAATTTTATAACTAAAGATGAAAATATAATTTCAGGCTATAACAAAAATTTTCGGTATTAAAACTATATTTCTCGATACTATTGGAGGTGGGCTCTAATTTGATTGTTTAAAGCATCGACTCTAAACAAACCGCACCCTTTTAAAAATGCCCCCAATGACATTTTAAAATCTATTTATTTACAATTTTTCTAAGTATTTTGCATAATATTATTTTAAACATATATTTCCTATTGCCCTCGCTAAGAGAGGATCAGTTTATACAGGAGCCACAATTTGGCGTAGTCGTCCGCCTAGCGTTCTCTCTTCTTTTATTATATGATTTGGCGCAATTGCCCCATTATAGGGTTTTATAATAAGTGTTATCCCTTTTCTATTAATGAAAAATCAGGTAGGGGGCCTTCTCCCCCAATGACTAACCCAAAAAAAACATATATTTCCTTTTTTAAAATTTTATATATTTTTTATTTTTTTGAATTGTTATATACTTTTTATAATTTTTTAACCTTTTTTTTGGTTGCTACATTACACAACAGTAATCGGTCAAGTTACTCGGACTCGACTCGAGTAATCGGCTCGGGCCATGACCGATTACTCAATCCGAGCCGCACTTTCTAAGACTGATTCTAACAACCGTATTTGCACCTTTTAAGTAAGTACCTTTTAAGATTCACTCTGAGCTATCCTTGCAATTTTATGGGCCACCCAGTTCTTTGAGTACTTTCAATGGGCCACAAGTCCTGAGCAACCCTTCAATGATGTTTATCACTCACGATAATTTCAAAGGGAATACTCCAAATTATCAACTGGCTTGTGGAAGTACTCTCTTCATCTCTTGATACTTGTAGCATGCTCCCAGTGGTGTATACTGTACATTTTCTCTCTTGGGAAAAAGAGTGCAGTAATTTTTTTTTGTAAAATTTTGGGATCCATCTAACAATCACTAGATGATTATTTTCAAATGAAAATGAATTTTGAGTTCTTAAAACACGTAAATCTGCCGATTCAAAAATTGGATCGTCTCTCTAAACCTTATAGTAATTTTTTAGGTTGTTGGCTAGGTTGAAAAGCTTAAAATCCCCCAAAAAATTTAGGGTCCTAACAATACTTGATTCTATCGAGATTTTACAATGAAAAACACTCCTAGCAGCAAATCTTCATACAATAATTATTAAGAAAAGTATACGAAAAGACTATTTACTTTTGTTATAAGGAGGTCCGATTACTTTTGTCCTTCAAATTTCAAATCAGGTGGTTGTGAAAGTGTCTGGACTAATCTCAAAGTTTGAAAAAAGAATTTGTGACAAACTAAAACTTTTAAATTTGACATCTAATAGCTATGAATAATTGTGACCTCCTTATAACAAAGATAAATTGTCTCATAGTATACAATCCCTAGTTATTGTTCGTTATGTTCAAAAAAAGAAAGCAATCAACTTGCATTTCATGGGTGATTAATCATTAATCCAATGTCATCTAGTTTCTTCTACCCTCATTGTCTCTCGCATTTTTTTACTAGCATGATAACTAAACCAATATTCACATTATTTTTAATTAAATGATTTCATAACTGATCCAAATAAATAAGCATATTTATTTTGTGATTTAATAAAATTTAGGTGTTCATCAATTCTTGTTTGACAATTACTATGTCAGATCATCAATTAATTACATCAGACTTAATTAGACATCCAACATAACGGATATAGGCCTTAAAATACTTTCATATGAGTCATACACATGAAATTTGGAATCATCTGATAATTTATTCATCATATTTCCGTTCTTTACAGAAGATGATCAATAGTTCCTTTTCTGCAACCTTTGCAATTTGCAGACTTTGAGATTATCCAATGAATTTCATTAATTAAATATTTTACACAAGATCAATAATTCCTTTCAAACTTTAGAGTTTATCCATTGAGTTTTGTTAATTAAACACCATTAAATGGATATAGTCCAAAATATCGATTTTAACTTAGACAAAAGTTTTTATAAGGTTGCAACCTTATATTTTTAGGATAGAAAATGGTGCTCGGCAGTTACAAAACCTTCCAATTGGTTATCTTAGTCTATTAAAAAAAAAAAAATCTTAAAAATACTTTATCTTGTAACAAGTTATCTACACCATCTATTTTCAAGATTTTCGAATGCTTATAGATCTCTTTGACTTACACAGTTTTTGAAATTTTAAATTTCATAATTAAAGTTAAACATGGGTTTTCAATGTCACTAAAACTACATCTTCCGACAAATTTTAGAGGTCTGCCTTACTTGGACGTGTTCGATAACAGGAAGTATCTTGTTGAAGCTTGAAACTTTATCTATGATATTGATCAAGTTTTGTGTTTAAAAAAATAAATAAATAAATAAAAATAAAAATAAAAGGCCAGAACTGAACGCTTCGTGCGTTAAAAAAGTTCCGACCAAAAGGTCAGAACTTAGGGAAGTTTTTATGATACCTCACGCCGCGATAAAAGTTGTTCCCTAAGTTCTTCGCCAGCCACCCCTCTCTTCGCACCATGCCGCTCATCCGGACCCTTCTTTGCTCGTTAGGGTTTACTCATCTCGTTTATTTCAGCAGCTGCGGCAAAAGGGTATGAACATCGATCTTATCTGCCCCTTTTCTGTGTAACGCCACTTCTTTTTCTAAGGACTTTTACCCTTTCCTATAGAAAAAGTGGATGCCCAAAAACGCGGATTATGCATTCACCTTTTTCAATTCAACGGATTGCTTGTAACTCAATTCTGTAATTCTTCTAAATTGATTTAAAATAAAGGCTGATTGATCGTTAGGGCATTGTATGTCTCATTTTTGGGGTAATTTGGTTGGGTTTTAATGAAATGTGGTGGTGTTGGTGAAGAAGTAAAGAAGAGTGTGTTGCAGGGGATGCATCTTCTTCTCTCTCTTCTCCGATGCCACAGACAGCGCCACCACCAAAATACCATTTCTCTGTCTTCACCTATCAACCATTTCCAAGGTGAATCCTTACTTCTTTTTTTCCTTCTTCTCTCTAGGTCTACTTTTACCCTAAATTGGATGGCTCCTGCAATCTTTGTTTGAGAACTGAATTGGATATCCTTTTTCCCCATGATAATTTTTTCCATGATTAAATTTTGAGAATTTGCTTGTTTCACATTGTTTTCTCATTTTCTTAAAAGATTTTCTCAAACGAAACATCAACCCTTCTTATTTTCCACTCTTAAATTTGTAGATAAAGAACGGTAAAGAGTTATTCATGGAAGTGTTATTCTCACTCTCTCTCAACGTACTTTAATTTAAATTGATATTTTATTCTAAAAAATAAAATTTAAAAAATTAATAAAAAATAAATAATATCTAAATCTCAATTTTTATATTTTACGTCTTTCCTGTTACTTCTACGGCTAATCCCAATACAAATACTTCACAAATACTTAGAACTTACTTAGAGGTTATCAAAAAAACCAAAAACTTTCTTAACTAACTTCTAATTTATAGTTCATGAAGAACTTCTTAAATAACTTCTAATTTACAGTTCATGAAGAACTTCCAATTTACAGTTCATTAATTTGCTTCTAGTTATCAAGCAAGCCCGTATAGTATAAGGTAGGCACCATATACAAACCTCACCCTTTTACCTTTAGATGGTATCTCAAATATCAACCTTATAGGTGATATTAAACTAAGTACAACTTTCCAAACTAAAAACAACTCACCTAGCTATTTCATCTAAGTAGACTTTTCAAACTAAGAACAACTCACCCATCCATTTAATCATTTTTTTGTATGCATCACTTTTCAAACTAGAAACAACTCACTTATACAATTGTATTTTTGGGGATGTGGTGGCATGAACTAAAGAAATTAGGAAATCATTTTGCATCTTTAACTAAGGCTCGCAAATAGAGAAATCGCATAATCAACAAAAAAATTGTTCTTAATTCACAAAATTGGATCTCCAGTCCTGAGTGGTCTTCTTGTTTACCCTTGTGATGGATTTCAAAATATATGTATTTATACTAAAATATGATGATTGGGAAAAGGTTATGACGATGATGATGAAGATGATGCATATCTACTAAAAGATGGTGGCGAGGGAAATTTTAACCGTTGAAAACTATACCATGACTCACAATCGTTATTCGTAAAAATAAAAAAAAATCTCCAAGAAAAATTTCAAATCTTTTTTTTTTGGAATCGTGCTTATTTCAACCAAGGACAAATATTTGTTTAAATTGCGTCATTGTATATTTGAATGATGATTAAATGGTTCGAGAATCTTTTGTTTATAAGAACTTTGATAAACCAATGTATATATTTGAATGATGATTAAATGGTTCGAGAATCTTTTGTTTATAGGAACTTTGATAAACCAATGTAGTTTCAATGTGAATATTAGGTTTCTGTTGATTCTTACGGTCTCAACAATGGAATTGGTATTTCTTTTGTGTATTCATGTTATGCACCACTAAACAAAAGGTATTGTATACACAAGTTTACCTCCTTATACGGTAGAAGGCTCATTTCTAAATGTTGTCTAGAGATATAGTTTTAATGTTAAGAAATTTATGACACTTGAAAATTTGTATGTGACCTAGTTATAAAATTGAAAGTAAAAAATGGTACAGAGGGAACAGACATATAAATATTTGAAAATTTTGAAAATAAACTGTCTAAATAACATATTACAAGATACATTTTTTATTTTAGACTTGAATTATTTTTTTTTTATATACAATCGCCAATACAAATCTAATAACATATTCCTAGGTTTTAAATTGTTTTCAATTTTCCAAATATATGTATCGATTATAACAATCTATTAAGCCCTATCAACTCTAGCAAACTTATAAGCGTATCAATCTAGCACGATACCTAAAACCTATCAATTATTCTAGCCAATACACTTAAAACCCTATCAATTCGAAGATCAGGACATTGATTTCCGATCGATGTGATCAGATGGTCCACATTTCCTAAAAAATATCCTCCTTCTAGCAAGTACACCTAAAACCCTATCAATTCGAAGATCAGGCCATTGATTTCCAATCAATGCGATCGGATGGTCCACATTTCCTGAAAAATATCCTTCTCTTTTTGTAATGTTTGACGCATTTTGATTCGATCGGGTTCCATCGTGCTAAGAGTTTTGGTTCCATCGGGCTAATGGGAATCAAAGGATAGGAAATGTTAGCGTTACCTAAAGACAAGGTTGCATGAATTAGAGTGGGCAAGGCTGATAGTATATTGGTTTGCCCTTAATTCAACGATTTGTTTATCTAAACACCCGTGTGATTTTCTTTATTCTTCGATGCTTTATGCAAAGAGATTATGCTCCTGTGGGAGCATACAATCATATTTGAAGTAGTTTTGGGATTTCAAATTGGGTGTGATTTATATAGAGCCGAGGCTCTAAACAATCAAAGTAAAACACACCTTCAAATAGTATCGAAAAATGTGGTTTCATACTTAAATCTGTGTGATAACCTTAAAATATATTTTTATTTTTAATTATAAAATTTAACGCTTAAAAAATAGTGCAGATCGAGCAGATCTATAAACACTTGAAAATCTAAAAAATAGAAAGTAAAAAAAATGTGTTACAAGATGCATTATGTCCAAAACTTGAAATCTATTTTTTTCTCAACTCCATGGAACTCATATGAAGATAATCAATTTGAAGATATTTAGGCATCAAAGCAACTTCTTCTAGTAAAAGTTTTGAGGGAGTTTCTAAGTTGATTGTTTAGAGCCTTGGATCTATATAAACTTTTTCCTTTCAATTTGGATTTTTTTCAAATGGCTCCGAGTTGAAAGTAATACACGTTTACACCTTGTGGGAAGATGCAGTTCGAGTGCACGATGCTCTTACGATGGTCTAAAGACCTGTTTTTAAAGTAGTTTTCGGATTTCAATTTTGGGTTTTTAAAGTAGTTTTCGGATTTCAAATTTGGGTGTTTTTGCAAATGGCGCCCAGTTGAAAGAGTACACTTTCACACGTTGTGGGGAGATGCAATTCGAGTGCGCGATTTTCTTACGATAGCCTAAAGGCCTAATGTTTTCTTAATTATGAAATTTGGAGCTCAAGAACCGATCACATCTATAAACACTTTAAAACCCTTGAAAATGAATGATCTATATAATGTTGTTTTTTTTTTTTTTTTTTTTTCTTTTTTTCATATCCATACATTTGAGATATAGATGATCAATCTTAGAGTTTTCCAATGTCGTTTTAAAATATTAAATTTCTAAACCTATATTAATTCTTGTTCAGTTCAATGGTATTATTATTTTTTAAATATTTTAATATTTGGTCTAATAAGAGTGAGGACCTTAAACTTTCACTTAACCCATCTCAAGCCTCATCAAACCCATCTCAAGCCCATTTTTTCATATCCATACATCTGAGATATAGATGATCAATCTTAGAGTTTTCCAGTGTCGTTTTAAAATACTAAATTTCTAAACCTATATTAATTCATGCTCAATTCAAATGGTATTATTAGTTTTTGAATATTTTAATATTCGGTCTAATAAGAGTGAGGACCTTAAACTTTTATTTAACCCATCTCAAGCCCGAGTAAAGGAAGTGGATTGTGTTAATAAGAGGTGCCTATTTTTGTATGACACTTTATAGAAAAGAATGGATAAGCATGACTCACGTAAACGATCTCAAATAATTGGGGTAAGCGTTAAATGATGATGATAATAATGATGAATTTTCTGCCGTTTTATTATGCGGAATCTATGCGATGAAACTATAAGGAAATTGGTAATAGAAAGAAAGAAAAAAAAAAAAGCACATTATTGAATTACATAGTTAATGAAAATGCTCAGATATGTCTTAATTAGAACTTCTATTCCTTATTTCTCCATTATTCCTATGGAAATTTCGATGAAAATTCTCCTCTCTCCACGTCAAGTTTGTGAGGAAGGTAATGCGGGAATCTAGAGTTTAGAAAGATGTGCAAGGTAATGCGGGAATTTAGAGTTTAGAATAACGCGGGAATCTAGAGTTTAGAAAGGTAATGCGGGAATCTAGAGCTTGGAAAGATGTGTAGTTTTGGATATGCAACTTGACGATCTCATGAATTCTTAAAACGAAAAAATGATGAGGATTAGGGATTGGCATCAAATTAATAGAAGCCCCGGAAATCATTCTCTCTCTCCAAGTGACCCCGTTCTGGGATTTAATGTAGAATGCGGCTTTAGAGAGAGAAAAAAGGTTTTTAGAGATAGAAAAGGAGAAGTAGAATTTAAAATGCCGCTGTAAAAAAGAGAGGGGATTTTTAGAGAGATAAAAAGGGGAGTGGAATGTAGAATGCGGTTTTAAAGAGAGAGGGGATTTTTAGAGAGAGAAAGAGAGAAGTGGTGAGTTCCCACTTAGACTCACCTTTTTTTCTAACATTTTTAATTTTTCAATAATTTTTGAAGGGTTTTAATTTTTTTGAAAAAATATTTAGCTTTATATATATGAAAAAAGCTTGTATAATTGTGACGCTGTAAACAATCAAATCCAAACGCACATAAAAAATGTCACTAAAAGATGTTGTTTTGATGCCCAAATATCTTCAAATTGATCATTTCGACTTCAAGATACATGAATATGAGAAAAAAAATGGATTTCAAGTTTTGAAAATAGTGCATCTTGTAATACATTTTTGGATTGTCAATTTTCAAGAATTTTAAGTTTTCATAGATCTGTGCGATCTACACCATTTTTTAAGCTTTTTATAATTTGATATGGAAAATATATTTTAAGGCCTTTGTAAAGATTTTTAGTATTGAAACCACATTTTTTGATACTATTTGAAGGTGAGTTTTACTTTGATTGTTTAAAGTTTGACTTAAAAAGTTTGAAGAGAGAGACTTAAAAAACTAAACACACGTTCTAATTGGGCCCAGCGGGACCTTTATTTGGGCCGCCCCGGGCCTAGCCCAGAAGATTCTTATGGGTTGGGTCAGCCCAGGCCTTTACATAATTTATTTAGGCAGTGCCAGGCTCCTCGCCTACATTTTCGGGTGGGTCTTACCGGACCAGGCCAAATGGAGAGGAAGAGAGGGGATGGGTTTTTAGAGAGAGAGGCGAGCAGTAGGGGTGGGGTATGAGGTGGGTGAGTGGCCATGTGTCCTCACTCCTCTTTCCAGTATTTTTTATTTTGCAATGTTATTTTTTGTTTTAAAATTTTTCAAAAAAAATTTAATATAATTTTCTTTTAAGATATTTTTTTGCGTTACAAACAAAAACGTTTGAAGAGATATTAAAAAGAGAAGAAATGCTTTTAAGTGGGGCGGGCAGGGCTTATGTGTAGGCCCAGCCCAGAATGCACTTCCGAGCCACAGGCCAGGTTGAAATTTTTTAGGCTTTTAACGGGCCTACGGCGGGGCCGATGGCAGCCCTATTTGCAACTTTATCCTAAGGTGCATCTAATAAATTCTATAGAAGAGTATTAAAGTGCGTCTCATAAATTCTATAGAAGAGAGTCTTTTGACACTAGAGAACCCTTCGATCATCTCAACTTCAAGATGCGTCCATATAAAGATAAAGGGAATTTCAAGCTCTAAAAATATAGTCCGTCTTGTAACAAGTTATTTAAACCATCTATTTTCAAGATTTTTAACTGATTATATAAATCTGTTCGTATTATTTTAAAAATTTTAAACGTCATAATTAAAAATAAAAATAATATTTTAGGCCATCATAAAATTTCCAACCAGAATTACATCTGAATGTAAATTTTAGAAGTGCGCCTTATTTCCAAGTTATAAAAAACGTCGACCATAAACCAAAGGCATCTCTCCTAACGTTGTTCCCAAAGAAAAATTAAACGACATTGAGACATCAAGAAAACGCAGCAAAACTTAAAAGACATTAAACCTCTATTAAGAGGAAATGGGCCAGGTATATCAAGAGGAAATGGGCATGGCGTGGTTTGGAGATTTTGGGCAGCAAAGAGAAAGAGATTTGGGTTAGGTTTTGCAATTGAAAGTTTACGGTTTAGGTTACAGAGAGAGTTTCATGTAGAGTTTAGGGGATATGGTTATGAGAGTGAGTAATCGGTTGACGTTTGGTGGTTATGTATTAAGAGAGTGGGTATGCCTTGGCTCACATCATTTATTTTGGTAAAAGTATACAAACATATTATTTATTTTTGTTATAAGGAAGTCACAATCTTGTTCGTTAGATTTTAAATTAGGTGGTTGTCAGTATGTCATTGATTAGGTTCAAAGTTCCAAAAAAGTTTTTTGTCATCTGATGGCTAGGAGTAATTGTGTCATCTTTATAACAAAAGTAAATAATCTCATTGTATATAGTCCCTAAACCGTAACCTGAATTTTGGACGTTATTCGGATCTGGTTATGGATCCAAGATATGGATCTGATGGGCTGGATCTTAATAGAATTCAAATCGGATACGAGTAGAGGTGGATATGAGTAGAGGTGGATCCGATTCGAATCTAACCTAATTATTAAAATATTATATATTTTTTTAAACTTTTTTATTATATTATTTTATAAATATATAAAATAATTATTTTAGATCTGATTAGGTTCGGATCCAGTTCAAGATCCCATGTGTACTTTTCAAATCTTGATTCAATCAGGTTCAGATCCGGATCCAGATCCCATGTATACTTTTCGGATCCGATTTTGAATCCCGATGGAACTAGAACTGGTCCGACCCTTTCTCAACCCTAGTTTTTACTTCCATAAATACTATTCTAGTTAATACACGTCCCTCCATAAATATCGTACATGTCTCTAAATTTGTATTAAATGCATAGATACTATAAGACTATTTATCTTTGTTACAAGGACGTCAATTACTCTTAGCCATTAAATGTCAAATTAGATGGCTTGGGTATACGAAGGTCGAGATTTTTTTAAAATTTTTTTGTCCATTCAATGTTACTACTACCCATTTTGAAACCGAATGGACAAGAGTGTTTGTGACCTCTTCGAACCAAAAGTAAATGTCTCTTTATATATTTTTCCATAATATGTGTGTGTGTGACTAATTTATTTTAAAAAGATAAAAACTAACAAATAAATATAGGTAAAGAGCACAATGATTAATGGAATTCAGATATCATAAATTAATTTTTAAAAGGTTACTTGCAAAAAAAAATTGTGAAAAATGACTTTTTCAAAACTCAAATATATGATCAGAAAAATATGATTTAAAACAAGAACATAGGGGAAATTTAGAAAAAAGAAGAAGTTATTTTTGTAATCAAAATTAAAAAAATAGTCCTTTATATTTTATATTTTATATTTTACACTTAAGTTCCGCTTTTTGAGAGTATGCTTTGTATTAATATCATTTCCTTTATATATGAGTTGGACTAAGTTAAAAATTGGGGATTTGATACTTCTCACAATCTCACATTTGTGAAAAGTGCCAAAAATATATTTTTTTAAAAAATCAAAATATCTCTAAAATTTTGAAATTTTTAAAGGCATTTTGGTCATTGCATTCAATTGAATTATATTTTTTAGCAAATACATTATCGGGATAAGTATTGATGTCCAAAATTTGAGCTTAATAAGATTTATAGAGAACATAATAAAGTTAAAACGTAATATTCACTATAAAAGTGGGACTTTCGTGTAAAATATAAAACACATAGGACTATTTTTAAATCTCAAACATAAAATGACATTTTTCTGTTAATTTCTTAAAATTTTAAAAAAAAAATTAAATGAGAAATTATATAGCATAATCAATAGAAACTTATACAATGACAAGTAAATATAAGATAAATCACGTAAATTTATATACCTTTTCAATCTCCTCCAATGCCCCAATATTTTCTCTTATGACTAATTAATCAATTAATGTAGCAAATTTTCTACTTTACTCGCAAAATTTTTTGTTTTTGAGTTTGTCTCATATATTAACCTCCTTATAGGGATACTTTTAAATACTTTTACAACATCAAAAATAATTGAAGGTTTAACACTGTACAAACACATTATTCGAATATCTAGTCATGATGAATGCATGTGATTCCAATTCAAGGACCAAAGCATACAAATATTAAAGATGGGGCGTACAATGGTTATGCGGATGTTTCATGACCCGAATAAGAAGTTGATTTATTTTTTTATAAATAAAGATTTTCCAAAATGTCTTGGTTCTATCACACACACAAAAAAAATTATGTAAGTCTAGGGCCTTTGAAAAAAATATAGGGCTGCAACTAAAAAGACAACTAGAAAAAATTGTTCTGATGTTGGATCCAGCTTTGTCTCGAAAAGTATTCCGAGGTTGCATCATAATAACATAAAAAAAAAATGCTAAAAATTATTCTCTAATTATTGATTCAAAATGTACTACCATTTTTCCATGGCTATTGAATAGGACCCTAGCTTATTCATCGGAAATCATATGATAACACTACTTCCACCATCAATAGATCCCTCTCCTAAGACTAGTTCTTCAACGTTCAGACACTATATTTGCGACCTCAATTTTTGGAAGTTTATCTATGTTGTTGTCATTTGTGCTCACATTCCAACTAAAGTTAGTAAGCCTCTGTTTAAAACACGATTTAAAAAAATAAAATAAAAAAGTCCGCGCTTATCAAAAGATCTTTAAAAACCGTCTTTTTTATGAAATCGATATATAAATATTTATTTTTTATTTTATCAAAAGAACTTTCCAAAAAATCTTCTATAAAACTTTATTGAGATTTTTATTCTCTTCATTTTAATATCTTCGAGTTTGGTTTAGCATTTCCATAAAAAATATTCTTAAGAAAGTGTATTAAAAAACACAAGCAATAAATTTCCAAATAAATAATCCATTAAGCATATATATTAAAATATAGGTAGCATTCGAGAAAGAGCAACCCAATAAAAGGTCCTATTTTTCTCGAATCCAAAGCATCAATACAAAGAGCAAGAGAGATTAGTGACAATTAAAATTTTTAGGTATTTGAGAATTCAAGATGAGATTCAAATATTTAAAATTGCTTAATTATTTTGTTTAATTTTGTTATTTCAATAGTGTAATGCAAGGAATTTTGGATGTACCGCTTCTTACATTTTTGGGTTTTTGTATTTTTAGTTAACTGCAATCCTATAGTGTTTTTTTTCTTCCAACAACAATCCTAAACATTGGGTTTGCTAATATAATTCTTATATTTTGTATTGTTGTGAGCTTTTATATAATGAAACAATAGGTCTACCATATATTTTGTGTTGTGACCATAGAGTTAGCAATATTTTGTGTTGTGACCATAGAGTTAGAGTTAGCATTGTTGTTGTATTTATTGAAAATTTAGACAAAACTTCGTGAAGTCTCACCCAAACGATAAGATAAAATCATTGTTCAGATTAAATGTATCAATAGAACAATTACAAAGCATAATCTTATCTTGTGTCATACTTACATATATGATTTTTTCACTGTCTTTTTAAGTCAAATCCGAAATGCTCACGATACTTTAACTTACCTAATATTTGGCGATCGGTATTTTTTACCCGTTTTTTTCCTTTGACTTTTCGGAAGAAAATCAATTTATTACCGCTATTTTAGTTTGGGGGTGTGGTTCGTATAAGACCAAGGCCCTAAACAATCAGAGGTACACCTTCAAATAGTACCGAAATATATTGTTTTAGTATACAAAATGTTTATGATGGCCTGAAAATTTATTTTCATGTCTAATTACAAAATTAAAGACTTAAAAATAGCATACACAGAGATTTGTTTTTTTTAATATTCATTCATACATCTTGAAGTCGAGATGATTGAATTTAGAGTTTTTCAGCATTGGAACAACCCCTTCTAGTGAGTTTATGATGTGCACCTTAATTTGATTGCTTAAGGCCTCACTCTTATATGAACTTTTTCCCTTAGTTTGTCAAATATATTGTTATTTTCCGACTTGCTAACTATGATTCCAATTTATAAGCATCTTGGCCACCTTGTAAGCAATCTTAGATTGTTGTGAACAAACATAACCTATCAAAAGAATTAATATAAAAATTTGAGACAAGGGCAAGTTATGCACTTTGTAAGTAAAAGTGCTACAAACTTAGAACGATCAAGGTAGAATAGTAGAACGATCTAAAGTACTATATTGGAAAACAAGGTAGAATAAATTCAAGATATCAATGACAAATATAATAAGGCTGCAGCTAGCATGCAGCCAAGCCCGCACATGTACAACTGCAGGCTTGATAATAAATATATATTTTTCAATATAATTTGATCTTAATTTTTAGAGAATATATAATCTTTAACATGGAGATCATGACTAAGAATAAATAAATAAATTTTAAAAGCTAGAAATAATAATTATATTAAAAAACATTTGGTCCGTTGGTTACATTTGTTTTTACATCCACCACCTATTTGCATCCATCTTTAAGATAGATGCTTTATATCTCTGGACCATATATTGTATAAATGCAGTCCAGCCCGCACAAAATAATTGCTCATATATTAAAGAAACAAGCTTGAGTAATTTTTTCCCTATAAATTGTTTGCAAACGTAAATATTTCTTTTGTAAACATTTTCCTGTCAGACTATTTCAGGCAAACCAAACGACCCCTAAGAGTTTCCCCGCACCAGAACTACAATTCCCAAGCAGAGCTTTCAGGCCTTGCTCAACTTTCAATCATAGAGCTTAGGCCTCACATAAACCTTTTTTTCTAGTTCATACATATTGTCATGGTAATGTAGGACTGGAATTTAACACCATATAATTAAGAGGCTGGACGGAAATGGAGAGAAGGGACAATGGTAGGGATCGTATTATATGGAGCTTAAATAAATTCGCCCAGCATCTGATGAGCCAAAAATACTTGCTGAGATATCTGATGCGCGGGCCCGATATAGCTACCCTGTTCCCTTAAGTTCTAACAAATTACTACTAATGGAGTAATCAAATCAAATATATGGCTAATTATTTACAGGATGTGCATTTAAATACTTTGCGATTTGGCAAGAAGATTAGATCCTGTATCATGGAATTGGAACCACGGAGAATCACTCTGATTGTAGACAAATCAAGATTGAAAAACCAAACCGTCCAGAAAATGCTCTTCTTACAACATTCAAACAGAAATCAAACCCCAATAAAATGCTTGCTAGTATCCCAACCAAAGAAAGTCTTATCTATTTTATATGTTTCTTGCTCCATATATTCATTCATATAATAATCTCCCTAAAGCACATTTGTCTTCTCGGCAATATACCTTTTGACGTCAACAACCCACCCGAAGTTGTCCTCCGTGAGTCCCCACTGGATACCCGTGACTGCAGAATATAGTTGCTGAGATACCTTACCAACTCCACCATTTCCATATTGCATCCTGCAGATCATACAAAACGCATTAAGGTCAAATTTTCATTGAATTGTCAGCATCATGACAATTAGCCCGTGAGCCTTGAAAGAAAAGAAACAAGTTTGATAGATATTATAGAAATGGTCCACTCGCAAGGGGAACATACGGATGCAGTGCAAATGGACTGGGACGATTTTGCGGAATTCACTCCATTAGATATCATTTTAAAATACATTAGCTTTGCATCTGGGCCAACAACATAGCTAAGAATCTTTGGAATTTCTTGTTCGGGACAGAAAACCTACATGTTAGGTTCTTATGACTGGTCAGTTTAGGCCCTTGCTACTGAGGTGCCAGGGGGAGACGTGCCCTACATTCAGCCAAAAGCAACTGCCGTACAGATTTAGATAGGACCCTAGGTAGCCTTGAGGATGTTCTTACTCCTAATAAAATAAAAAGATAACATGGAAATTCAACAATGAAGTTCTTTTGCAAACAATTCCTTCCCAAATCCTCAATAGCCAAGAGGGAATTTACACTAGCTAAACTAAGCCCTCACCAATCCTGCCAGTCATCTGTTTTTATATTTTCCTTTCTCCTCTTTTATCCATGTATACCCCTCCAGTCGCATGATTTCACCAGCAATGACTGACAGCTCAACTCTCAACAAAGTGAAGGTAAGGGATTTCTTCCAAAATTGTCCGTGACCTAAATTTGTTTGAGGTTTCATGTATCGCACTTGAAAGGGGAAAAGCTCGTAGCGGATTGGGCTATGAGAATTGATGCCCATGAAATGTTTTGTTTTTTTGTGTGTGGGGGGAGTATGACATGATATCAGAAGGTGTTTAAATGGATCGCTTGAGAGTTGGGACCAACGTAGGAAAAATCGAACCGGAACGGCTAACCGGACATAGGGCCGGAAGAGGTTCAACTGGCCTAACCATGTCCCGGGCGGTCAAAGAAGTGTTAAAAAAATAAAATAGACAAAAAAAAAATATAATAAAATATAAGAAGTATATTTAAAGCATGTTAAAACAAAGAAGATCCAAATGGACTTGAAAATTAATGAAAAACATGGATTTTAAATAATCGATTTGTGCCCACGAGTATTTTCTAAATTTTCCAAAATAGATGGGAAAATGTAAAAATAAGTATTAGTGGCCAAAACAATTTCCAATATTTGCCAAAATGATGAAAAGTATTAAAAAATGCATTGCAAACAAAATCCCTTATTTTTTGATATTTTACGAATATATATATTTTTTAAAAAATACCCGGCCAGTTCATCAAAATCAACCGAAACCGGATCCGGCAAGTGGCCGATTCCGATTTACCGGGCAGTTAGAATTCTAACCACCCGATTTTTCCTACGCTGGTTGGGACTACAGAGAACATGTCAGAAATTTATAGATCTTTTGGAAGCATATCTCCATAACTATTGGGGGTAGCTCTATCAACCCGATGAATGGAAGCTAATGATTACAAGAGCAAACACAAGAGCCCGGCAAGTGCCTTGTGTACCAAGCCACCGAAAGGCAGGCCAAAGCTTACAGTGAACACATATCCTACAATTTTCAGGATGGATCCTATCAGGACTCTTTTAACACCTTTCATAGGATTTGTACACATTGGAAATTCTTCGGGGGCATAAACTAGAGCTCTGTTGATAAGCTTTCATGTTGTCTCTTGTTTCTACTTGGGCCCACTACGGTGGAATTGACCTTAACAGACTAATGTAACCAAACGATTTACTAGAGGTCACTATTTCCAAGTTTCAAGTCCCTACTCAGAGATCCTCAGGAGTATGGAAATGAATATCTTCCACTATGAACCTATTCCTCAATCGGATCAGGTATAAACGCAACAGCGGCTCTCGTATTCTCGTTTGGTTTAATCTCTGGATTGGACTTCTGCCCTATCAACAATCTTCCCCTCTCTCTTCCTAGTCGTGAGAGACCAAAGAGCCTTCACATCTGAGCATCCAATTTCAATGGATCCAACTTGGTCTGGTCCCCCATATTTTGGTGCAACTTAACGGACCTTGAGTCCTCCTGCCTTCCATCTCTTCTCCAATTGTTAGACCCATTCTTCTAAACCCTTAGTCAACCGGATGCCTTAATTTGGTCCCATGTCCCTTCGGGATCCTTCTCAGTCTCCTCCCTCTATGCTTCCCTCCTCCCTCAACATAACCCTAATCCTCTCCTCAATTCATCTTGGGATCTTCCAATCCCACACAAAGTCCAGGCATTTGTGTGGATTTTACTCCATTGTAGAATCCTCACACTTGACAACTCCAGAGGAGAGGTTTCTCTCTCCCAAATCGATGCATTCCATTCTTCCAGGAAGACAAAACAATCCCTCATCTCTTTATTCATTGTAAAGTCTCTCTCTCTCTTTGCCCCTCCCTCCTTAAACTCTTCGGTTTAAATAGGGTCACCCCTCCTAATTTGAATTGTCTTTTTGAGACCTCATTTTCCCCCCCTTTCGGCAGGTCAAGTAGAAAACTTTGGCACCTCTCGTTAGCAGTTCTACTCTAGAGCTTATGGCTCTAGAGAAACTCACGCACTTTCAGAGGTATAGTGAAATCAACGGCATCAGTCTTTGAGTCAATTACCATTCTCATTTCCTTTGGGCCAAAAATATACCCATCTTAGCATCTCTTCCAATCCAACATTTCCTAAATAATTGGGCCCACCTCCTACACCTTTCCACCTAGACAGCCTCCCCTAGACCCATTTGGACCCCCTTTCCCTTGGGCTTCCTGAAGCTCAATACTGATGGATCATCTCTAGGAAGCCAAGGACCCTCGGGAATTGGAAGCACTCTAGACATCTCAGCTGTTTTCTCATTCACAGTGTATATTGGGGGTCCAAGACTCCACCTATGCTAAGGCTCTGACACTTCTAGAAGGCCTTAAAAGGGCGGCCCAGTTGGGAATCTATGCTCAAGATTTAATGATAGTGGCTGATTCCAGCAACACCATTCGGTGGGCCACCCAACAACAGCAACCGCCTTGGAGGTTATCCTCTATCTTTGAGAGAATACATTTCATATGCAGCTCCCTCCCCCAACTCACCTTCAAGCACATTCATCAAGCAGGGAACGCAGAGGCAGCTAGGCTGGCGAAAGAAGGAGCTTCCCTAGGTACAGCAAAGGGCTGTAACCCGGTGTTGGGACCCTGCCTAAGCAAAGTCCCCGAAGGGGTGGGCTGGAAACAATCCTAACCTTTGACTTATGCACAAAGTGGCTGCTCTCAGCTCAGTCAAATCCCTGAGTCTCCTCTCTCCTTCCTCCCTTTTCTTCTCTCTTCTTCCAAACCTATCACCTCCATACCAAAGCGAAGGAATGAAAAGGGCAAAAGTAAAAAAAAAAAATAGTACAAAAAAAAAAGAACACGATATATACAAGGAAGAAAACCCAAGGCCTTCTTTGCGTTTTCCCCAGTACGTATTTCTACTCACCAACCTCTTACTTCTACCCTTGTCTCCGCTCTATTCCCTTAACTCACCAATCTCTATATTCCTTATCATCTTTCTTTGCTCTCCCTTCCGAGTTCTATTACTCCTACCTTTGCCCTTCTCCCTTGTACCTATTCACGTATTGCACTACATGTCAGAAAAAGGGGGGGGGGGGGGGGGGGGGGGAAGAAGGGAAATATATATATATATAGAGGAAGATGCTAGGGTGAGCCCATGGAACAGTGTAAGCCCAACAGCCTAGATTGAATTTGGGTCGATCTGATGGTCAAGACCGTATATCAGTAATATAATTTTAATATTTTTCTATATAAATCAAAATAGCATGAAATTTGGAGCATAAACTCTTCTCATTAAGGCGCACCCAATAAAAATATTAAAACAATAATTCACATAAAACAAATTGACCAAAAAATGCCCCTAACTTTTTAGGGGTATTTTGAAAATTTTAATTTATGTGAATTATTTTTTTATATTTTTATTAGATTCGACTATTCTTGAAGAAAAGACGCTCCAAATTTCAAGTAATTTCGATTTGTAGAAAAAAATTAAAATTCAATTACGAAATACAATTCCAATCATTGGATCGGTCCAGATTCAATTTGGGCCGTTGGGCTTACACTGTTCCATGAGCCCATGGGGTGACAGGAGCTTTTTCCATATATATATTCGAAAATTATTTTGGCTTTCTCTCTCTCTCTCTCCACTTACCTGCCAATTTTCTTCTCACTCCTCGCTAGATTCACACTCTCTAGCCTCTAACCCCTTTCTTCCATATTTGGAAGCTCGCAATGCTTCTTGTCTTTTATTCTCTCTTTCCCCGCTTTTCTGTTCGTGCTCATCTGCTCCTCCAAACTTTACAACTTCATAGCAAGAAGTTGTGTCAGAGGATGATAGTAGGCCTCATCAAAAGCGATTAGCCCCACGACAGAATGATTCCCCTCAGTGGACCTTTTTGCCAAAGATTGACCACGTCAACCACTATTTCTACCTTTTCAAGGTATGCTTAAAGCATAGAAGACCTTGTAAACACCTTTCCTGTTAAGGTGTTCTTCTGCGATCCTATGGGATACAATGGTATGTAGTTAATTAGATGTGATGCTTTTCAGACTCCAGTTTCAATTTAAATTGTTCTTCTTTCATCGGTTTTATTTTCCTTCTCTCTCCTCTACTGTCTTCTAAATAGTTGTAGTTTGAGCACCCAAATTGTGGGATGCTGTCTCTAGATTTAGTCTCTTGTAAATTCCTGAGAAAATTAACTTTCTAGATATCCTAGCCCCCAATACTTTTAGTATCACACCCTAAAACCCAACACTACTTTTTCTTGTATTTATCCCCCAGTCAAGAAGTCAACCAAATTTAGACGAAAATTCCCTTTTTCTCTCTCTTCTTTATGTTTTAAGTCAAATGCAATACACTTTCTCTTAGTTTCTCTCTCTGCTCGTTCTCTCTAGCCTCCCTCTCTCAGTCTCTCTTTCTCTCTCGACGGGCCATCTCTCGCTTTCTCTCTCGACCTCTCTATTTCTACCTGCCATCTCTCTTTTAATCTCTACCCGCCCTCTCTACCTCTCTCTCTTTCTACCAAAAAACCCAATTTGCTCTCACTCTGCCCTAACTCTCTCTACTGAAACCCCCTTTCTCTCTCTTCTCTCTCTCTACTCGCCTCTCTTTCACTCTCTCTACTCCCTCAAGAAATCTACTATGAGCTTAACCCTAGAAACTCTTCAACCTATGTTCTACTATCGAATGTATATGCTTCGGCTGGAAGGTGGGATGATGTTGCTAGAGTGAGAGGGGCGATTAAATCAAAGGGAATAAGAAAGGAACCAAGGAGTAGCTCAATAGAGTTCAGAGGAGAGGTTTGTGTTCTTTTCAGATGTTGGGGTTCAACCATGTCGGATGAAATATTTAACATTGGTGGAAGTTATTGGCATGGTGAGAGAGATTGTGTATATTCCTGAAACAAGGATTTCACTTCAGGATCCAAACGAGGATAAAAAAGAGCATGGCCTGGTCTTTTGGTGGGGTTCACCACAGTGAGTAGATATAGAGGTAGAGACAAAGTGAGAGATAGGGGGTTTCAGTAGAGAGAAAGAGAGTTTGGGTAGAGAGGGGGAGAAAAATGGGTTTTTTGGTGGAAAGAGTGATATAGAGAGGGCGGGTAGAGAAAGAAAGAAAGAGAGAGACGGTGGGTAGAAAGGGAGAGGTAGAGAGAAAGTAGGAGAGAGGGCAAGTAGAGAGACTAAGATAGGGAGGGTAGAGAGAGGTAGAGAGAGAAACTAAGAGAGAGGACGAGTAGAGAGAAACTGAGAGAAAGAAAGTGTGTTGAACATGACTTAAAAACATAAGGAAGAGAGAGAAAAAGGGTATTTTCATCTAAATTTGGTTGATTTAATGACTGGGGAGGTAAATACAAGAAAAATTAGTGTTGGAGTTTAGGGTGTGAGTAAAAGTATTGGGGGTAGGATATCTAGAAAATTAATTTTGGGATCTATAATTTATCTAAATATTTTTTTCGATTACTACAAAAGTCACCCTTATTCAAAATAAAAGTTCTCAATAGCTGTTCTTCCTTGGAAAAGACAAACCTATTAAAAATAAGGGACATACCATTTTCACGAACAACTAAAGCACAGACTACACCAGAAGAGCTCTGCAAGCAAACTTGCACAAGAGCATGACGGTATACGCTAGCAATTAAAACGATGCATCAAAAAACACATTAAAAATAAAAATGAAAGCGGAAAACCTGGCGATTTGAAGATATAGTTGCTTACTTTTTCCCCTCATATGTGATACTTCCAACTGGAGATACGACGACTGCACAACCTGTGCAGAAAACCTCATCGGCTTCAAACAACTCCTCCACCGGTATAGGCCGCTCCTCAACCTGCATAATGGGGCAAGTGATTCAACCATCATCAAGAAACCATATTGGTACAACATCCGTGATGTCAGAAAATCACCACAGATTCCATAAAAACAAATGTATCTCCTAAGAACGCAAGCATCCAACATCCACAGAAGCGATAAGATCCATATTTTGATCCGGCAAGTAATTTCTTCAGCAATGTTTGTTTTTTTCCTTTCTCTATCCCCTTACATGAGACAAAGACCAAAGCCTAAAAACTGAGAAGAGCTCCATAGCACTAGAATTGTGCGCTCAAACAAAAAACCTATGGATTTATATTTAAGAGGAAAACACCTGAAAGATTAGAATTCTAGATGTTAAAACCCAAATGTCATGGCATATGACATGAAATACAGAACTTTTAAGATCTACAACAGCAAATAATTTTACTTCTAAAATCATGCCTTCAATATAAAAGGATGTGGAAAAGGCATCCAAGAACATTGAAATATTTCTGTTAAGAAAGAAACATAGAAGATAGAAGATAGCATTCTGTTAAGAAAGAAACATAGAAGATAGAAGATAGCATAAATAGCCTTGTTGCAACTCAGCCATCACAAAACTTATTAATATGGAAGCTTTTTCCTTCCATACTTCCCAAATAGCATGCATCCATGACAAAACCACAATTATAAAATGACATACAAACTTTAGTACTTAGTTAAATACAATTCATTTCACATTAAGGTAACTAGCTGCAGGTAAGTACCTTGTATCCTTCATTTCGAGCAACATCAATAATACTCAACCGCGTAATTCCTGGCAAAATGGTCCCTTTTATTGGCGGAGTTGAAATTGTTTTCCCCTATTCAGTGAAGATGGACAAAGAAACATGTAAGGAGGGGTCACAGGCAGAGGATAAATGAGATATCTACTGTATTCTTGGTTGAAGAATGACAAATAGCATGCTTCAATGACATACAAGTAACATGCATGTCAATAAAGAAAGGAAAGGGATCGTTTACTGGAAGAATGTATTGCCACAATTAGATCAGAGTCTAGCACATAGTTGTTGGAAGCGGGAGCAGGAGCAAGGAGTCTACCACATAGTTGCCACATGCTTGAACCTCCCTAGGCTGGGAGCTCTTTCGAACAATTATTTTAATTGATAAAACAAAAAGAAGTTAAAAATCAGAAATTTTATTAAGAATTTAAAATATTCAACAATCCCCAAAAATACAGTAAAGAATGGGCACAAAAGATAGGCAAATAAAAGAGTATTTATTTATTTAAGGAATAGGCTTGGGGCCTGGGTGGTCAGTGTACTTGAGCAGCAACGTGACGTTTGGAGTTCCATTCTTATCTACAATATAAACCCATCAACATGTAAAAAACATAATTGTGTATCAACTAATTGTTTCTAATTTATATATTTTTATATTCCTTTGAGGTGTAGTTTATGTAACAATAATACTACAAAATACAATTAAAAAAATATTATGATGATGCACACCGGGATAGCAAATAACACTACAAGGGAGTTGATTTCTTATTGATAAAATCTGCTTTATTTACCATTCCAAGCCCTTAAAACTTAACAAAGCATATCAAACTACTTTATTTAGAATTTTACACTTCACAACCTCCAAAAGTATTAGAGAGTATGATTGCAAATAAGATACAAATAAATCATCGGTTTAGCCTGCTCCTTCGACCTGCTAGGGGTGTTCCTTAAAAAGTGGGGATCGAGCTAACAGAATTTTCAATTTGCAATCCCATTAAGATACCTATTCAAAAGCACCTGAGGGACATCCCAGACCAGGACCTACATGTATTGGGAGATCCCAGCAACTATGGTCTAGCATAAGATTTCAATCGGAGTGATCTATGATATCCTACAAAATATCATAATGCTGCCAAAGTGCAAGCGAGTAAAATGCAGAAGAATGATACAAAGTATAATTTTGTCTACTATCTATTCAACAAGTGTCTCTCGCTTTTATGAATGAATAAAACAGATAGGAGTCATAACGGCCTAAAATACACCAGTGATATGCACGTGTGTTGCACGTATATTAAACATTAATCATTAAAATACAATTTTAATATTAAAATAAAATTTCAAAAGGCATATTTGATTATAGAGAAAGTCTATAAAAAGAGGGATTTTGATTGATCCATCTTCACATATGGGCTTCTATCAGATGATCATTATTTTTTTATACTTTCAATTATATTATTTTCTAACCTGCATAAAATAATTATTAACTATACAAGTAAGTATATCATTTACTTATCAATAAATATTGTTCTGAAAAATAAAAATACAAGGAAAATGCAAAAACATCACATAAACATCAAATATGATTATAATTCAATATGTAACTTGCATTTACAGGTAATTATATTTCTAAAAATAATTTCAATTATAATATGTGGATGGAATTAGTGCGCAGAAATATGGTGACCTATCCTTTTATAAAGTGGAATAGCGGAACAGGATCCATGTAGCCAACCAAATAGTTGAGATAACACTGGATGATCATGATGACGAATTTCAATTACAGTCAGTGTTCGCAGACTCGAACAGGAACGGTTAACCGGACTTGGACCTAAAAGCGGTTTAACAGGCCTAACCGGAAAACCGGTCGATTCAACCGCTCTAACCGGACAAGTCTTGGGCGGTCAAAAAGTGTTGAAAAAAAAAATTTCAAAAAAATCTACTAAAATACGAAAAGCATATAAAGAATGATTAAAATAAAACACATTCAAATGAAGTTGAAAATTAATGAGAAAAATGGATTTTAACCCATTTTATATTTTCCAAGGGCTATTTTTAAAATTTCTAAAAAAGATGGAAAAATATAAAAGTGAGTATTAATGACCAAATCAATTTTTAATCTTTACCATAATGTAAAGAATATATAAAAATGCATTACAAATCAAATTCGTTATTTTTGAGAATTTATATACACTTGTTTTGAATTTTTTTTAAAAAAAATACCGGTTAATCACCCTAACCGTCCAAAACCGGAATCGATCACTGGCCGGTTCTGACCTAACTGGGTGGTTAACGGTTAGATCGGGCGATTTTGCGAAACAATGATTACAGTACTCACCTCAGTAACTTGTATTTACGGTTACTTAGATACTAATAAATATATTATTTACTTATAAGTATTACGGGAAATTGAAAAAACTAAAAAAATTAAAAAATAAAAACAAAGAAGGAATTATTATTTTTATTCTTTTTTTGGAATGTATCTTTTACTTTTATTACATTTACCAATACAAGTATTAACTTTTTTCTTTTTTATAGTAATATATTATTGACGTATATAATTTGTATTTTTGATTAATTACTTTTCTGTTTTATTTTTGTATTATTCTTCAATTATATTAAGTTATAAAATTATTGAAATTATTTTATTTACATTAGTACATCTATTATTTACTTATAAGTAGAAATTATTTTGAAAAGTTAGACGATATAATTTGCAATATTGTTCACTTATATTTCTTTCTCTTTGTTTTTGTATCTTTTGATTAATAATTTACATTTTTTGGCTAGTAAATATACCATTTACTCATGTACATATAATCATGAAAGTTTGGGAAAATTAAAATGCAAAAAAGAAAAGAAATAGTAAAATATTAATTTTTCTTTCAGGTAATTGTAATTTCCAAATCATGCCACAAAAACTTCAAGATATGATTCTAATTATATTTTAAAATTTAGATGTTAAACATAATTCGTATTTTTTAAATTTTTTTTGACATGGTTTAAACATAGTTCTTATTAAATATAAGGATTAAAACAATATTTGTTACTAATTTATTTTTGGATATTGTCACTTATTAAATAAATCCTCTTAATAAATTCTATTAGAGTAAATAATAAAATTTCTACAGATATTATCATTATCACACTTATATAATCCCTTAGCAAATATAAGTAAGATCCATTTGAGGGGGAGAGAGGGGATAGACAGATATGAATCACATACAATTCAATAAATCCTAGTACCTGTGAACCATAATTCAACGCTCGCCATATAAACAACAGAAAATCAGGATATGACCAGCACAGCCCGAAAAAAATCAGATGGCAGCAGTAATACAACTCCATTACTACATTCAACGAAACACATACCATCAACATGTCTGACAAAATATTAACGTCAAGCACTGATTTCCATTCAAGCGTAAACATGATAAGAAGTTCACTGATACAATCTTAAAGTAGAAACTAGAAAACAGCCACGCATTCTTGGATTGGACTTTCTCTAACTTCTACATACTTCACAGATGCTATCATAGAAACTTCCCTATGAGTTAGTATTTTTACTCAAACAAAGCATGCAAATGACAAAAAAAAAATGGTGCTAACCAAAACTCGAAAGCAAAAACACAAATACAACAAACTTCCACATATTCATAGGTGCAATCATCAAAACTGCCCAACGAGTTGCAGGGAAAATTTTATTTTTACTCAAAGAAAGCACACAAATGATGATAAATAATACAAACTGGTGCCAATCGAAAAGTAAAATCACACACTGGTGGTACACATGCTTGCACTCAGGTGCACAAGCACACTCATAGGAAACATGCATTAAAAGGCACAAATATGTACAGAACAATGAAAACACCTCTGCTTTTAAGGACACAATCCACATGACAATGCAAACCCTGGAGACTTCCATTTCAACTTTAGAGAAAAAACTGTTGAACATATAAGTCATAGCCTGTTATAGAGAACGCATGGATGCTAAACATCCATCCAAATATGTTTCCAAATTTTGAAGCATCGAAGTGTCAAATAGTAGTGCAACAAGTTGTTGTTTCAAGATTCTAAAGATAAATCAGCGAGAACTACACAACTCATATATGCGCCCTGGGAATAAAAGCATACAACGTGGACATTCAAATGACAGCCAAAGCAATTTATTAAGGAGCAATGGAAGCCACAAAAGAAATCCAACACAATAGTTAAGATTGATATGGCACTCAAACAAATAGAAATGATGATCAGCCACACTGCCAAAAAAAAGCTGAACCAGCTAGACAGTCAATACAAATATATGATATACCTTCACGAGAAAAATGTTAGCAGCTGAAATTTCCTCCAAATACTTTTTGTGAACAGAATCTAAGTACAAAACCTCAGTGTACTTTTCGGATTTTGCCCGTGCCTGTGCCTTCAAAACCTAGAGATAGATAAAACAATGAGAACACGAAGCCAACAAAAATCCAACAGGAACCTTACGACCAAAAAAAAACAGAAAAAAACATATTAGATTGTCGTGCTAACTTGTTGGCAGAGAGAAAAAATAGTACAAGTAATTGATTACAACATAATCCAAAGAGAAAAATGAGAATGTAGATGCAAGTGCAGTGGTATTCTGCCCCTATTAGGCCAAGGAGCACCATTGCCAACCTAAATCCAGATGCGCATCTAGGAAGTAGCATTGGACCTCACTTTTTAATCCACTGCACCCCAATTTATTTTTCCTCATTTTTTTTAATCCACTGCATGCAACCCAGGTGGCCCGCCTGCAGTCCTCAGGCCGGCCAACACACTGAACACCTAGGGCATGCCTAGCGATTCAAATAAAACACTGATCAAACTTTTTTTTTTTAATAGGTTGAACCAACGACCCATGATGAGAGCACAATTATTAATGAAGACAAAAATAATTGACTATTGATTCAATCAAATCAAAGTTCTTTAAGAAAACATAGGTTCTCATGCACTGGAGAAGAAATACTTGAATGTTTCTTGAAATTTCACAGAAATTTCACCTTACAAGGAACATTTGTCTATCTTGATTGTCAGCGATCCAAATCACTCAACTAAGAGTCTCTATTTCTCCCACGTCCAACTAGATCATGGTGAGAATCATTCTTGCACAAGCAAACCGGTTTGGAATTCAAAATGAATTTAGAAGTTGAATTGTGGTGTTCCTATTTTCTTGAGTTGTTACTTTACATGTTTATCTGCATTTCCAATTCATAAAATATGGTCACATGATACCTATGTCTCTATTTACCTACTCTTTGCACATTTTTCTCATTTTTGAATTTTACTCTAAAAAAATTAAAGGAAAGATGCTTGACTTAACTTCAATTGCAAACTTGACAAAACTTCCCTCAAAAACACTCAAGTCCAATGCAGGTTTCTACGGCATGGCACAATTGCCGCTTTAGAAACTCATCTTCATGAGGAATAACTTGCCCAAATTATGGGGTTCCCACCACCGAACAAGTCTTGTCTAGGACGAAATTTTTGAAGTCAACTTAAATTTTTTATGCATCATGATAGCTTAACAAATAAGCGAGTTCCTGGGTCCAAGACACGCCCCCACACACATATATAACACAGCATACACAATATATGCATGAATTCACATACAAACAAGATACAATGTTAGTTCAGGACTTCCATCCAGTCGCAATTCCTTGAGGGTGTACCTTAGAAACGAGCTTGCAGCCCTTTTGATGAACAGCCTCTACCATAACTCATTCACCTTCACAATATTATTCAACAGCCTAACACTTCAGAAAGAATAGTCCCTTCACTCGCATTTGTTTTATTTATACCTCTAAATATATTCAAAAACCCAATTGTTATTTGTAGTGCTTCAAAAAGTGTTAGGCGGGTCCTAGGCGACCTACGGGGTCCAGTCCGCCCAACGCCTAAGCGAGTGCTCAGGCAGGTACCCAGAACCTGGGTGGCCAAGTTGAAACAAAAAAGGACTCTATAGTCTCTAAAAGTATATATATTGTATAAAATATAAGAATTGAGTATTTAGGGCACATCAAAATTCAAAAGTATACTACACATTAGCACACACTCCATAAGCATAACCACAAATCGGTCCATATCCAATTAAAACTTAAAATTTACCAACCAAATTATCAAACCAAAGTTACCAAATACCAAACCAGTGGAACTACAAATCCACTATCCACAATACACAACCAAGAGGAAGGAAAAAAAAATGAAAGTAATACTTGAAGACTCAAAAGAATCTTCAATCAATGTTCAAAGTTTAATCATCATTCATCATTCATCATCAGAAAAAGTAGGGTCGGCTGCATTTACATCATATGCATCGGAGTCATCACCCTCAACATATTGGTCGCCCTCCTCCATCTCTTCTGAATCTACCTCCTCTTCCTCCACCCTCGTCCTCTGTGCAGAAGATCTAGTGGCCCGAGGAGGGTCGGCTGATGTCCCTAAAGCATCCATGACCATGTCCCATGTCAATCCTTCATGCCCCTCGACCTCATCATCATCAACCAACCACTTTATAGTATTGTCCATATTTTTTTATTTGAGGGGTCTCTCTTATCTCTCTTAACAAACAAGTTCTTCAAGAATCGATTATACTTGACATAAACTAAATCATCAAGCCTCTTTGATTCAAGCATGTTCATTTTCTTTGTATGAATCTAACAAAAGCAAATGAAACTAATAATTATATATATTAAATAATTAAAAATATTAAATATATAATAGTAATACTACAAAACAATCAAAACTAATAACTAAGTAACTACTAAAGTACTAAATTACTAATACAATTATACAAATTACCCTTACCCCTTCAAAAGTACTCCAATTGCGCTCACAACCGGACGAGGAAGTGGTTAAGTTTAAGATCCGAATGGCCAACTTTTGTAAATTTGGAGAACTACACCCATGTTGACTCTACCAATTGGCAGCAAAGATATAGAATAAAATCATAAATAAATAATAGAATTATAAAAATGAAACTTGATTACTTGAACTTGATGAACTTAAGAATATTATTACTGCCTGAATCAATTTTGGTCATTTACCTCATCGCCATTGGACTTCCAAAAGACTTTAATGAGCACTTGTAATTTATCAGCTAATCAGCACATATAATATCCTAGATATCCGCATCTACACACTTACTTAATCCAGTCATTTGTGTATATATCCTTGTCAACATAAAAAATAACTCGGTTCAAATAATAACGAGTTGCATGCAATGGCTGATGTAGCTGCCTATCCCACTTCTCATCAATAATCTCCCAAACAAGCTTATAGCGGTTCTCATCATCATCAAAATTTTGGGCTCTCTCTCTTGCATTTCTCCATAGCCCATAGAAGCCTTGTCACTATCAACCATACAAAGGACTTTGACAAGAGGAAAAAATACCTTAATGCGCCCTTTAACCCTCGCCAAAAAGCCTTAAAAAGGATAATATCTCTCACTTTCTTCCCAACCTGATCCTTGGACAGCTTGCATGCTCTCCAATCATCCGAGGTAAACATCTGCCTCAATTGCACTCTCCTCAAATGTATATCATCTAGGTATAAGTACCAAGTCGCAAATCTCGTGACCGCAGGCCTCACAATCTATTTCTTCTTTGTAAATCTACACATCATGCTAAAGGTGAGATGGTGGCTATAAATGAAATTCTTAACTGACTTTACCTTCTTCACTGCACCTGATATCTCGGTTAAACGGCCAAGAGCCTCAAGCAATATGTCTATACAATGTCTTGCACAAGGTGCCCAAAAGATTCTAGGATAAGCTATGCACAACAATTTAGCATCAACAACATTAGGAGCAGCAATGTCTGTGAGAACCTGTACAACAAGATGCTCCCCAACCTCCTTGATTCCCTTCTCTATAACTTGGAATATGTAATGGGCATCATGGATATAATCAGATGCATCAATAGATCTCAAAAAACCAGTCCCTAAAGGACAATTCACAGGCAAATTCATTAACTTCTTCTCTTCCTATTACTCCAAGTATCAGTCATAATAGAAACTCCATACTGAGCCCATGCATCCTTCTTAACTTCTACAGAATCCGTCGTGACACTCACCATTTTTTTCAAGAGGCTCTGAAAGCTCATATGGGTTTGAGCGTTTCATCCCTAGCCCAAATTGGCTAATTGCCTCTACCAATGCATAGAAGCTGCTCAGGCAAGTGGTATTGAAAGAAATGCTTGCCTCATAAAACCATGTAGCAATAAAAAAAAAACAAACTCTATCTCTCTCTTCCTTCTTCATTATATTTTAAAAAATGGTTTGCTTCTTTGTTTTCTCTCCTGCAATCTCAGGGTCAGGTAGGGGCAAAAAACCATTCATAAGGCCTCTAACCCGAGGCTTCTTACTCCTAGAACCATAAGCAATTACAACTCTCTTTCCCTTCCCCCTAATAATGGATTGTTCTACCCCTTGACATCCCTCCCCATCCACATCACTATCATCATCATTACAACGGACCCGAACCCCAGACCTAATCTCTGCTATGGAGGCAAATTTCTCATCTCTTTTCATTTATACCACACTCAAAAAATTAATAATTCCCTCTTTAATAGCATCAGGAGTCTTTTTACATGGAGCAACATCCCCTTGATACCGCCAAGATGTTTCTTGAAACAGTTTATGCCCCATTTTGTATCCTTCTCACAAAACTTGCATCTTATGCAATTTTTATCATTAAAATCTGGGTTGTAGCCATATTTCCAACTGGGATAACCACTCCTATTAGATCTCGAAGAAGACATCTCAAAATACTACAACTTATACAAGCAATAAAAAAATCACTTACTTTGATTGCTCAATCTCCAAACTTCCAGCTCAAAGATGCTTCTAAGGACTCAAAATCTTCTAAAAAGCCCTCCAATAAATTTATAAAACATCACAAATTAAATCTAATATCAATGGGTGATGTGTTGATCAATTTCTCATAACTTTGAGAAACCTTTCGATCCTAAAGAAATCACCAAAAACTAAGTTTTTTTATGGTTTTCTCTCTAATGAGTTTTAGGTTCCAAATGAACCTAAAACCCACATTGTTTGCCCCTTAGTATAAAAAACAAATGACAAAAAATGCCCCTACCGAGTGGCTTTTCCGCCTCTAGGCAGGGCGCAGTCCCTAGGCTCCTAGGCACCTAAGCAGGCACCGAGGGTTTTCCATCTTTTTTTGGCGCCTAGGCCTGAGCGTATCGCCCAGGCCCCTTGATCGCCTAGGTGCTGGGCTGTTCGCTTTTGAAACACTAGATATTTGCTTGACTAACAATATCCTAATGCTATTTTGTGGAAATTTAGAAACAATTAGTTTACAACGCCAACCATCTTGTGCAACCACATAACTTCAAAATAACCTTTAAACATTAACAATATTCTTCTTAATCTGTACATCTCAATATGAAAAGGTATCTAACTTTAGATACCGAATTTCCTAATTCTAATCATTAGTAAGAGTTGAGAAAGAAAAATCCACCAAAATCTTACTAAGCAAAACTTTCTAATGGATATTAGACATAATACAGTAAAAAATACCATAACGTCAAAATCTAGAAAATATTATAGTCAGAGATCAGGCAAAAATGATTAAATCAAAAGGTTTCTTGGGAAGGTACCCATGCTAAAATGACCAAGGAGACAAACACTAACAGGAATGACTATAAGAATCAATGCCTCAAGGATTCCACTCGATAAAGTAGACAACTACAACAGCAACATACTTCAAAGTATCATGCATCTAGTCCAGTTCATAATATTTGAAAAGGAAAAAAGAGGTGGAATATAAGGAAAAACAACAGGCGAAACCTGAAAGATTAGTGTAAGGCTTCCTTACTGCTGCATAGTTTCCTATTGTCTTTACACCACCAGTCCCACCTCGAGTGGCACGATGAAAATCAGTATCAACCAACAAGCTTATCGGAGCCAAACCTTCCTGATAAAAGTAGATTGTAATTCAAATTAAAATGAAATTGAGATCAAGCATCCTCCTATTAAGCTGGGGAAAAAAAAGAAGTTTAGTCCAAATGAATGTGGAACATCTGCTCCCTTCGAACAAGGAACAGAAAGTGAAAGACTGAATCATTTTCATGGCTAAAATAATGCACAATTTAGAGGTGAGAAACAAATCCAAGTAACACCATGTCTTTAGTCACAAACAGTTCCTGTCAAAATAAATTAATGTTTTTCACACCCATCATTTTTATTACATATGCCTCAAATGATGCTAACCTTACCCTATTACACAAAAATGCATCATTCCACTTGATTTAACTTGACTGACACTCAATGACTGAACATATTTTCATTAATGGATTTAGTACACTTCTCTTCAATCAAGAGAAATAGTAAGTTCCCAATGGAATTTGATCCTTATTTTAAAAAAGCCAAAAAAGAAATTTGACTTGATCTCATAGCATTAAGACCACCCCCATGGTCATATATAGACAAGTCATAAGAGACCGTACAGGTGAATAACTATGCCTTCATCCAGGGAAACAACATCAATAAAAAGAATCCCAGAGTCACACTTAATACCATCATCGACATTAAGTTTCCAAAGGCAACAGAGGTGCGGGACTGATCGCTTCAACTATGTAGTATTGAGAGAGATGGTTTACAAGAGTGGAGATAGAGCAATTTAGAACGAAGCACTCAACAGGAGTTAAATTTCTTAGCCAATTATCCAAATTATTTTCCTTTCGTTCGTCAATATGTTAAACAAATTACATTTCGAATGTGAATGATACTTAAGAAGCAACAAGGGTAACCATCCCAAGTGAAATGCAGCCTCCTCACCCCCAATTTCTCACAATTAGCAATTTTTTAATACAAAAATTTCCATAAAAAGACACCATATAGGAGTTATACCCAATTTCCAAATTTCAAAGGTTGATAAGGAAGAATCAAATACTAAGAGCCATCCCCTAAGAGATTATAAAATAGGTTATGAAGCCAAAGTATGATCTGGCACATGAAAAAGTACACCAACAGTTGAGATGCATACTATTCAAACAACCAATACTAGATGGTATTTAGAATATTATTTGAACAATTTAAAAAGAAGGTATTATATTACGGGAGCAGCACCAAGGTCCAGTCCCAATCCTCTCATGTGGCAAAGTTCACTAAATGATAGTTATCATTTTCCTGATGGCCAGAAAACCATGATATACGAAAGGTATACTCTGCGATAGTTTTCAAGTGTTATCTTCCTGATATAATATACACAAGCTGGCTATTTTGACAAACATGTAGTCAGGTAAAATATTGAGCAACAACTAGTTACCACTCCAATCTTCACCTGATTATTTCATCTCCAAGAAATATTAATAGAGCATACTTCAATCAAATGGGTCTTTGAGGCGAGCCAGCCAGACACCAGAAAGAACATACAGAACAATATCAAGAGTTCCTTGCAGGAGGTAAACGCATCACTTTTTCAAAATGAACTAAAACATACTAAGTCTGGTCACTTTTCCAGTCATGGGTTAACTGGCCAAGGCACCAAATCAGATCCATAAACCTAACTCCCCAGGGAGGCACCAACTTGTAATTACACTGGTACAGCCATGGGCCATAATACTTGATCACAATGATATAAGAACCAGCGATTCGGTCTCGGACTGGCCTGAGTCACTCGGACCTCGCACCCTGCCTGGTCTGATTGAAAAGGACCAAAACTCAGCAAGTCTCAACGAATCCTGGTCCCCTTGTGGTTTTTACCCAGAAACTCAGCTGTGTAAACCCTCCAAATCGGTGGCTAACTCAGGCTTGGGACATGGTGAGTCAAAGACCGGGTCCATGTTTTCAAACACTTCTTGAACATAATCAACAGGCGAACAAGATAAGCACTAACATACGACGTAGATGAACAAAAAACACGAGGAAAAGTCAAAACAACACATTTGAGCCTACTCATTTCCCAAAAACTTCAGTTCAGTTCATCGCCTTAAATAGTCAAAATAGTGTTCGATCATTAGTAGACTGCAGGAGGATAATGATAGTAGCTGCAGCATCACATAAAAAGACTGAAAGTTTTAAATCCACATAATATTGGTAAGTGTTCCAACCCCATTCCAAGGGTCATTAACTTCAAGCAGTGTCCCGGAATTTATTTAGTTTAATTTTATTTTGTTTGTGTGTGGGGTGGGAGATCAACCTTAAAGTAATTCCCAACTGGCGATACAAATACAAGAAATGTGTACTCGGGAGCGGGTGCAAGGCCCAGAATGGACCCGCTTCCAAAAAGTAAGGGACGAATATATAGAGAACCTTTTCCAAATGGAGGAACCTGCAATAAAACACAGAAACAATGTAGTCAATTAAGGTTGCTTCTAAATATTTCAAATCTTAGATATCGGAATTCTGAAAGAGGGTCTTTGTTTAAGAATCTGCTGTACCCAGCGTCGATTAGCCCAAACTGTTTCCTGAACAGCATCCACAAACTGCTCTACTGAAGGTGATGGCATACACATACGCTCAGCACCCCTCTGCATTCTTAAACCATTCTCTTCTGGACGAAAGAGAACCACATCACAATCTTTTTTCCTATATGCTTTTAGACCTTCAAACAAACCCTGCAAGACGTAGAATAACAGATTCTTAAATTTCACATCATATGGCATATTACGATGATGATGATGATGGCGGCAAATTACAATTAAACTCTCAATTTCCTGAACAAGAAATTCTTTGTCTAAAATAAATTATAGAATGTGAGTCTGAAACCATTTGCAAATAAATCCACAGAAACTTGCTGAATAACTCAATGAATCCAAAAAATAAGTGCATAACCATGCACAAAAACCTTTAAAGATATGCTTGCAACAAAAGACACAGAATAGATCGTTTTCAATGGTCAACATAATGCCTTCCAAAAGAACCGGTCCACAAAGGAATCAAAAACCAAGAAGCTATCAAAACCAAGATGCGCTCAAATCATTTATGACATTCATCATTTTTCTTTCAGTCAAGATCTCTATCACTGATTGACCCTTGAGCCTCAAATGACACAAGTGGAAATCCCAATCACATGTCATATGTCTGTTTTTTCTTAGGCAACTCTATCATCAATACTGTGGATGCAGAATGCTTCACTGGCATCTATTAGCAAAATAAGATACAATGGACAAACTATGGTAGAGAATATGCTTTGGACAGTTTAAAGAATTAGCAGAAGAAACTTCTTCTGATACACCAAAGACATGCTCTTATACTCCATAATAACATGGGCGTTGTTTATTTTTATTTTTATTTTTTGAGATTTTTTTTAGAAAAATAACATGGGTGTTGTTAAAAATAGAACTAGACATCGGGCTCAATTCTTCATTCCGGTTAACAGTCTAAAGCTGTCATGACGATTCCTAACCCAGTTTTGTCCAACATTTCTCTCATTAAGGATCTAGCCAAGAAAAATCCAATCATGCATGTCAACAAGTCTCTAGGGCTATCTGCACCAAGTAATTAGTCAGGTGTGTTTTGAAAAGTACCAAGTAAGTAATTAGTTGGGTGTCTTTAGGCTATGTTATATTTAAAAGGTCCATTGTTGTTCTGATCCACATAAACTTAGATTCCTTGTCCATGCTACTTATGTGGAAGGGGCTTTACTTTTCAGAATTTCTAAACCCTCATCAAATTTTTTGGTTGTCTTTTTTGAAAGGCACATTCATCACGTTAAAGTTCCAAGCCATCCCGTCTTTCACCTACATCAATGAAGCTGAGACATAAAGCAGATAAGCAAAGTCCTATACAAGATTATATGAGATGATATCCAAGCAGCAAGTTTTCTTGCAGCAAGAAACTTGGTTAAGGGCATAACAGAATATTTGTAAACCATAAGCATGAACTTGCAAACACTGCAGTCTGATGAATCAACTTGCCAAACTGGTAACGGTATCAAATAATGTAACAAATAAGACCCAGTCTACAAGAATATGGGGTGTATCTCCAAGAGACATCGTACCTTGGAGAAGAAATTACTAATCATAGAACAACAAAGCGTTCAATTTCAGCAGTCTCGTGTAACTACATCAAATGTATTTCTAAGCTATATAGACATTACATCAATCAATATTACAAGCACAACAATCAAATAAATAAACAAATCAATAAAGACTACAAGCACAACATTGAATTTACAAGCAATCAACCTATCCAATTTTTTTATAAGTTCATCTACTATGCCCTCCATCAAAAGAAAATATTGAACACAATGGATGCATATCAATTACCTGGCCTAGTTTACTACAAAAGATCATATAGAGCCGCAAAGAGCCAACTAGGGCACACTCTGGCAAGAGGGGACAGGAGTTGCGCTAGGATTTCACATAAGAAGGGGGATTTCAGAGGATGCAGGGAGAGAAAAGGGTGAGCTAGAGGACCTTCTAGAAAGGACTGAAAAGTGGCTTATAATGTCTAAAACAAATGAAATTTTGTATCATTTGATCACTCACTTGCATCTCTAACCCTCAATCATAGGTTCTAAAGGCATGTGAGGGATGGAAAATCCTTGCAAAAATAGGGAACGCGATCCATGAGCCCAAGGACCAATAACTATAGCTATGGCCCCTATCCCAAATCCACTGCTTTTGATTGAGGAATCCAAAAAGACACCAAACAGCCTACAAAAATCTCTCCTTCAACTAAAAGTCAATTTGGAGCTCCAAATAAATGTGTGTCAAAGGGGAGGGGGGACGGGCATTTCTGCAGCATTTGTCTATTTGTCTAGTTACTATTGCAAGTGTTTTCCAACTATCATGAATTTTATCTTACTGAATACCATGAATTTTAACAACCAATCCTGTCAATGCACCACAAGGCACAACAAGAAACAAAAGAACCGTAAAGGAACATCATCAAACCAAAAGAAAGCACTACAAAAACCTCAATTGTCAAACAGGCAAGGGGCAAATCATATATCCGCCAAAAGGATGCAAGAAGAATTCACACAAGATTCAGTGCAATCCTCGAGAAAAGTATGGCACACCCTTCAGTAACCGTAAAATTTGGAGAATATGCAAAGCAAACCGGTCAAACGATCACAGAATGATTCAAGGATCACAAATCACTTACATCCAAGACATGGTAAAACAATAAAAAAATATCTAAGGACATCAAAGAGAAGGTAGCAACTAATTTCAGAAACCGACATATCGCTGAAAGCTATAGGTCAAGTGTCATTGACCTGTCCATAGTTCAAGACTCCAGCAGACGGACTCAATCCAATCTCCCCATAGGGCTGCAATTCACCACTAGTAAACTGTCCACCTTTAGCACATTTCATTACATACATGTAATCTGTTGGGGTAATCCCATAAACAAGGTTATCCCAATCCATATCAGCCAACTCTTCAACCTCCCTGAAGTAAATAACTCAACATATTAGAAAGAAATCCAAATTGTCCATTCTTTTATAATATCTCTAGAGAACTCAAACATAAAATGAAATGAACGCCAAGAACTACTACTAATTAGAAAACTCAAATCAATCAGCGAAAAAGAGGAAAGCCCATATTTTTTGGGGGTGAATAACCTCTCGTCAAATGCACAAGTAGTTGGATAAGTATATAACGATAAACGTCAAAGGATTTGTCTTAAGTCTCTACGATATAAATAAAATGACAATTCAAGATTTCTGAACTTCCATGAAATTGATCTCGCAGATTTGATGAAGAAAGATGAATTAACCTCTCCATAAAGTTGTCTTGCACAATAATAAATCTACGGCCTGCTCAGAAACAGCTGGAATGGAACAAAAAAGTAGGATGCTATTAACCATAATTTTTGAAGACTTGGTCATCTCAAAATCAAAAATATTCAACGGTAGCATTGCAGAATGTTCCTCATGTTACTAATTAATGATTCATAAGAATTTTTTTTAAGTCATAAAGAGACTTTCAAAGGTTTTTTAAACTGTCCCTTTCATGTATAACTTGCACATATTACATTATTTTCTCATCATTCCAGGTTCATAGCCTGTGGAGGACTCTAGGCTTTCCTCAGCTGTATATTAGGGCTTTAATAACCCACATAGGTGAATGCATATTCAAAATATAGATTCAGTACCATAAGGTACACAACAAGATGCTCCTCGAGACCAAGGCAGTGTTATCAAAACTGGAGCTGTGACTGAACTAGTCAGAGATCTAGTCTAGTCAAAACATGTTTGACCAGTCAAACCATTGGAAAGAATAATAATAGGAAAAATAGGTCAAGATTATGAAAGGTGTTTAAAAGGAGGGGGGGTGTGCAACCTCTGTTTGCGGGTCTAACTCATCAAAATTGACTACTCTGACTAGCCAAACCAGTCAAATATCGATTTTAGCCAGTTTTGATTAAACCCCATTTTTGCTTTGAACCAGGCTAGCCAAGGCATTGATCTAAGGTTCAACCAGACAGTCAGATACAGTCTTGATAACACTTGGGCCCATAGGCGTGTTTGTACCTTTAAATTTAGTGCTATAAAATTCTTATCCACCAAGATCAAGAAGATTGTTCCTATAAACACAAATCCAACTCAGGGAGGTCGTGAAAGAGGTAAACAAAAGTAAGAAGTTGCTTGATTGGCTATCAAAATCCTTAAAACATCCAAGAATATGAGGGGCTTGTAGGAAATGGATTTGGGGTTGTCTTATGAAACTCATGCAAGTAAATCAGGTTTTAGGAGAGATGGAGAGCAGATTACTTGTATTTAATCATTAATTTCGACGACCTCTGCAGTTATGATCGCCAAACATTGTTTAAAAAGTGGACCGCCCAGCGCCTAGGCAGCCTAGGCGATCCAGAAGACCTGGGCACATCGCCCATGCCTAGGCGGGCTGTCCTTGGGCGAACGCCCAAGGGCGAAAAGCCCTTTGTTGAGGGCTTGTTTGGGTTTTTCTGAAAAAACAATGTTTCTAAATGTAGGTTTTAAGTTCATTTGAAACATAAACCCACTAGAGCCCATTTTAGAAAGAGAAACCTCAAAAACAACCAGATTTTGTGATTTTCATTAAATCGAAGTGTTTCTCAAAGTTACGAGAAATGGATCCAGACATCACCCATTAATATTAAATTTAGTTTTAGAGTTTTTTTAGGCCTATTAGAGGGTGTTTTTGAAGATTTTAGCACTAAAAAACACCTCAGAGATGGAAGTTTGGAGATCGAGCAATCAAAGTAAAGGCAAAATTTTATTTTTTAGATAGCTTGTATTATTTTGAGATGCCTTCTTCAGGATCTAGTCGAAGTGTGGCCCGGGTTGGAAATTCCATATAACACGAATCCTTTGGATAAAAATTGTATAAGAGCATAAACCGGTTTAAGAAACATCTTGCCAGTGTTAGGGGGAATGTTGCCCCTTGTAAAAATGTCCTGAAGCAATCAGAGAGGAGATTAACCAATATATTAGTTCAGTAAAACACAAACAAGAACAAAATCCTTGGCACTTGGATAGGTCGATTTTTGGTTCTGCTAGAAGAGGTGATCCGGGTTGGAAGTATGGTTATAACCCGAAACCAAACGATAAAATTGTATAAGGTGTAATTTTTTTGAAAAAGATACCAATGGGGGTATTAATCGATTCAATAAACACCTTCCCAGTATCAAAGTGAACGTTGCTTCTTGTAAAAATATTTCTGAAGCTATTCGGGATGAGATTAGACAATATTTGAATTTAGTAGAACCAGAAAAGGAAGAAAATGAGCCTCGTTCTATGGAAATATCTTCTCCAGGTTGTTCTAGAAGTGGTGATCCAGGTTGGAAGTATGGTCATAACTCATAACCCGAATCCGAAAGACAAAATCGTATTAGGTGTAATTATTGTTGAAAGAATACTAATGGGGGTATTTACCAGTACTAAGGGGTATGTTGTCCCATGTAAAAATTGTCTTGAGGCTACCAAGGAGGAGATTATACAATATTTAAGTTCTGGGAAGCACAAAAGGAAAAAAAGGTGAAGAGGCACCAAGTAGAGCAGCCAAGACTCCTAGGGCGTCATCTGCACGAAGTAAGAGGGAGGTAGAAGAAGAGGAGGAAGAGGCAGATTCAGAAGAAACAAAGGAGGACAAGCGTTGTGTTGAAGTGGGAGATGACTTTGATGATGATGGCCTTAAATCTTGATGCATATGATGAGGCTTACCCTACTCCTGATGATGATGATGATGACTGACAAATAAAGACGCTTGACTCTTGGTGTTAACTATTGAGTCTTAAACCATATATTTTCTTTTTCTTATTTTTTAGTTTCTAGTTTCCACTATCTAACTCGTGTGTGCATGCTTGTATGGTTCTAGCATTGTATGAAAATATAGATTATGGACTATCTAAATTCTCCTCATTCATGGAAATATGAGTTATGGATTATGTGTTATATAGACTTAGACACTTAGACTACAAATATTTTTCTTTCTACTGGACCGCCCAAGTCTTGGGCTCCCCCTTAAGTACTAGGCGGCCTGGATCCCCCCCTCCCCCCTGGTGCCTAGGTGCCGCCTAGCATTTTTGAAACACTATCGGCAAAATTCTAAAGTTCAATTAAAAACTTTCATGCTCTAAGAAAGGGCATTGGTGATCTCAGCTCTTATTCACCATTGTTACGGAATGTACAGTCCAAAGAATGTTCCTTATGAGGGGCGCAGCATGAAGTGGATAGAACGTGTCAACCCTGAGGTAAATATGCCAAAATACTCACCACCAATTAGACGAGGGCACTATTATATTTTGTTGTGGGTCAATCAAACAGTTTCTATCTTAAAATCTTATGTTGAGATGCTCCAAAAAGTTACCCTGATGTAGGACCAATTCTTTAGCTCCTATAGAAATCTATGCACAAACCAGTGTGCTTAGGATGAGATTGGTGCAAGGGTCTAGTACTTGACTAGGTTTTTATAGTGAAGGGAAAAGAGTGATTTGAGACCAGATAAGTAGGAATAAAAGCTAAGGTGACAGGATATTTCGCAAAATATGGAATGTAGCATCCTTTTAGAGTCTCTTAGCAAAATCGAAAACTTCTCCTAACTACAATTTGAGAAATACAATCTTATTAAAAAAATAAACATCTTTCGACATTAACTGTCCCATGGGCCAACAACCTTATAGAAAGTTGTCTATGATTCACAATTTCACATGGCCCTTCTTGGCTGGGCTTACTATCACTTCTTTGGGGCCCTGGCAGGCTCACTGTTATATCTTGTAAGCAGTCCAACAAAGGAAAAACAAAATGTATCTTAAATAAAACTATTACACGAGTTTCAAAGGCAATGTGAAACAATTTGCTGCTTGCGTTTAAAAATGCAGATTTGATTGCTAAGCAGCCAGGTTGCCTAGCCACTTGGGTGGCAAGACAACCGCCAAGGTGGCATTTAGGTAAGTGCAGGTCACCCAAAGAAAGAGGAGGGGATTTTTGGACATCGATGATGATAGGGGAATTCAGGTTGGATAGTAACCCCCCAAATTGCATTTAAGATAAAAATATTTAAAAAGAAAAAAAATTAATTGCTTTGTGTGTTATTGTGTTATACTATTTCCAATGTTTCAAAAGACGCTAGGCGGCCCCTAGGCAGCCTGCCCCAGAGCCTAGGCTTGAGCCCAGACCTCGGGTGCCCTGAGGTGAAAATTCTTAGTTTTTTTTATATATTTGTTATCCAAATGCACATATATGCATATATTTGTGTCAAAATTTGTAATTTATTCCAATTTGAACCATTAAAAACATTTAAAAGTCTAATAGGCTACTGTAAGGTCTCCAACTCTCAAATTCAGAAATTCTCCATATTGGCATATTCCATATCCATAAAATAAACCATAATAACATCCAAGATTCCAAGTCTCCAACTCTCCCAGTCATCAACAAACTGACTTCCAAAACTATAGAAAAACCAGTAAACCGCACAACAAAATAGTCCAAAAAGGCCAAAAATTACAAACCACATAACTAAATAAAAATCGTTCAAACTCCAAATGTCTAAAGCCCAAACCAAGATGATGCAATAAAGTATTAAAGTTACTTCAAAAGAAGAGAGAAGACAATCAAGACATCAATAAGAATAAGAATCATCAACTTCATTACTGTCATCTGAATCAGAATCATCACCCTCTTCAACATATTCCTCTTCTTCCTGAGATTCTTCTGAATCTGCCTCCTCTTCCTCTATCTCCGTCCGTGAAGTACCAGCAGAAGAAGTTGCTCGAGTAACCCTCCTAGGATCAGAAGGTTGCCCTGAAGCCTCCTCGACCATTTCCCATGTCAAACCCTCCCCAGGGAAGACCTCCTCAGTACTAGGGTCACTAACTAGCCAATCTGAAGCATTCTCCATGTCTTTCGAAGAGATAGGATCCTTCTTTGGCTGGTTTTTCTTCTCCTTAAGCCTTTGATTCTCTCTAACAAAAACCAAGTCATTAAGCTTCCTTTGCTCGAGCCTATTTCTTCACTTTGTATGCACCTAGAAAGAAAAATAATGCATAAGTAACTACTATAGGTCTATGATCTTCTTACCTTTTATGAATCTATATTACAAAATGAATATGAAATTATAAACAAAAAAGCATATAAAATTTTATTCCTTTAAAATAGTAAAATACCATCTCAAACGAACTCCAATTGCGCTCACAACCAGAAGAGGTAGTAGTCAAACTCAAGATCTGCATAGCCATAAAGGTTTGGAGCGCTACTCCTATGTTGTCTCTACCATTGTGCTGCAATATGTGGGCAACCTTTATAATTAATTTAGGAATTTAACATTATCAAAACTTAAAAGAAAATTATAAATTTATATTTTATAAAACAAAAGTACATAAGTCAAAAGAATATTACCTGGTTCGCCTTTGTTTCTCTGCCTTAATGCCATATCTTTTCCAAATGACATCAAAGAACACTTGTGCGAAATTAGCTCTTCAGTCGATATCTTATCTTGGATATTTGGATCAGGAACCAATTTCTCAATGCACTCATTAAAACCATCCATAATTACCCCTTTTGACTCAATATCTGCACCTGCATAAAAGAATTTGGGGTTCAAGTAGGACCCCGCTGCATGCAATAGTCTATGGAGCTGTCTATCCCATTTATCATCTATAATCTCCCAAATTGGAACATACTTCGCTGCATCATCGCCCAAATTCTCTGCAACCTCATTCTTAGCCCTTTTTATTGCATCATATATAAAGCCCATGGAGGGCTAATCACCATCAACCAAGTGCAAGACCTTCACTAAAGGAAGAACTACTAATATCGCATGCTTCAGCCCACATCAAAAATATTTCAAAAGAATAATATCTTGTGTCTTCTTTCCCTTGGCATCTCTAGACCACTTACACCTACTCCACTCCTCTGAAGCAAACATAGACCTTAATGTGATCCTCCTCTTATACATGCTCTGTAGACTAAGGTAGGCAGTGGCCAATCTAGTGACCCCAGGCCTCATTAGCTCTCTCTTTTTTGTAAACTTGCGCATCATACTAAGGGTAAGTATGCGACTGTATATGAAGATTTTAACCTCCTTAGCCTTAAAAATAATTCCTTTAATAAGAGGCAATTTACCAATTGCCTCAAGCATAAGATCTACGTAATGTGCAGCACAAGGAGTCCAAAATATGTGAGGCCTCTTTTGTCGAAGCAAATGACCTGTAGCTAGATTGGGACCAGCATTATCTGTGACCACTTGAATTACATGTTCCTCCCCAACCTCCTCAATACCCTTAAACATCATTGGAAGCATCGATTGAGCGCAAAAAAACTATACCCGTGGGACAATTTACTAATAAATTCATGTTACTCCTCCTCCTATCACTCCACATATCTGTCATCAAAGAAACCCTAAATTTAGCCCATCCCTCCTTATGAGTCTTGAGATATTCATTAGTGTACTCGACTTCTTTCTTCAGTAGTGGCTCACTAATCTCATAAGGAGTAGGAGCTTTCAAACCTGACCCAAATTGCCCAATTGTTTCCAACATTGTATGGAAGCTATTCAAACTAGCAGTGTTAAAAGAAATGCCCGCATGGTAAAACCACCGAGCAATATACTAAATCACCCTGGCTCTATCTTCCTTTTTAAACCTATTTTCAATTGTCACCTGTTTTTTTCCCTTTCCCTTGCCTTTCTCAATTACTGTCTCTGGGCTAGGTGTAAAGAAACTATCTATAGGCTCTCTCGTACGAGCCTTCTTAGACCCAAAAGCCCTCTTGGTCTTAGAGCTCTGAGTATCAACCATGGCTACCTCTTTTCCCCCTCTTCATCATCATCTTCTTCAGTTTCAATATTATCATCAAAAATATGAACCCTTGACTTTAATTCTGCTATATCTTTTTTTTTTGCAACCTTTTTCCTCTTTTCAGCTTCAATGTACTCCAAAATTTCTTTCTTCACAAGAATTGGGACTTCCTAAATGGGGCGACATCATCTCTAATACCGGTAAGATGTTTCTTAAATCTATTTATGTCGACATTAGAAACATGTCCAAAGAATTGCACATAATTTTATTTATGTCATTCTTATCCGGATTAACACAATATTTCCATCCCGTATCTCCACCCCTAGTAGACCCCGCAGAAGACATCTCAAATTGAAAAAATAAATCTCAAATAAAGTTTACTGACTAACCTTCTACCAAATCTCTGATCTTCGATGCTGGCTATCTCAGTCGAGCTACGAATCAACTTAAAAGTCTTCTAACACCACCATTAGCACCCTAAAAATAATTTCAATCAAAAAACAAACTTTTTCAATCCACAATAAGTACTTTCGATTCTCAGCAATTGTTTTAGATTCTCATAAATAAGTTTAAGATTGAGGGTTTCTTGTTTTTTTTTTCAGTTTGGGGTTGAAAAATAAACCCCTAAACTTATTTTATGCAAACTTGGGGGTCAAAATGACCCCCTTTCACCTTTTGGGTGAGGCAATGGGCGCCCGCCCAGGTACAGCCGCCCATGTTGGGGCGCCCAAGTCCAGGCGTGCGGAAAATGTTTTTTGGGCGCCTAGGCTCCAGGGGGTCCATTTTTTTAAATATTGACTATTTCAAAACATTGTTACCGGGTTCTTCCAACCAAGGGGTCAATTCTGCTCTGAAATTTCGCTCCGACGCTCCAAGGGAGCGAATTTTGCCCCCTATCAATTTTTAAAGTTTGGAATTCAATACATTATCAAAAAAAAAAGATTTGGAATTCGATCGTTCCTAGTAGGGTCAAGATCCAAAGTTACAGGGGATCCAAAGTCCGGGCATTATATCATAGTATAGCAGTAATATAGCAATATACAGCAAAGTATTAGTAGCTACTAGAGTATAGTATATATAGCATAGTATTCGAGTACGATATAGCCGCATGTTATTGTCTAGCAATGTAGTACACTATAACATACATTCTATACCTACTATACTAGTTAATTGCCCTTCCGGTCCCCCGTCGTACATGAATTTCACTATTCATTAAGGTGTTTGGCCAGTGATATGAAATACAAAATTCCATGTTGATCCTTTAAAGTGCTTCTTTAGACAAGGTCAAATGACATCGGATTTGGCCCAAATTTGGACAATATGCTCTTAATGCCCTCATTTTAAAACCCAAACATTTTCATCATTATCCAAGATCATCTCAGAGGCCTTTTCATAGATCAACCGCCGTGATTTCTTTAGGGCAAAAGTAGTCCACGGGATATCAGATTGACTTGAAATTGGGAGGGTGGGCCCAAAATATTGCTGATTAAACATACCCCAAGTTTCACTGCTGTTTGAGATTGTTGTCAATGGTTCCCTTTAAGAGGTGCTCTAACTGGGCCTCCGCTGATCTGCCAGCAATCTGAGTGAACTTAGGATCCTTCAAAACTGAGTCGAAGTGAAAGTCAAAATCACCTAAAACTTGGAGGATGACTTTAAAATACTCCCGATTAACATTCATTCAAGTTTCACTGAAATCCGCAGTCCTGATACATGACCTCCCCTTTATCGATGCAATATCAACTGAGATCATGCCGATTGATGCATGAAGCATAAGAGCGTAAGGTGGGAGGGGAGATACCTCCAAATGGGCCAATGGTCCACCCAAATATGCTGAGATCATGCCGATTGATGCATGAGAGTGCGTCCCTGATATTCTCTGAATCCCGCCCTTTCAAGATCGTTGAAAGAGTATCTATGGGACTTTATTGTTCTGAGTGATACAAAACACACCCAAACAAGTATGTACAATATGCTCACATTGGAAGGGTGCCAAGGCTGAGTAACTCTGCTGAGTCCTAGTTGACTCATCCGATTTTAAAATATGGTCTGGAAGGAAGACCTTGGACTAAGTGCAACACACACCTAGGATTTGGGAAAGAACCTTATGATTGTAAGCCAAATAACAATATCATTGACCTCCTTGTTGACATGTTTATCCTCTGCAAACCATAACTCTCCAAGGAAGAAGTTTATAAGACCCAAAAGATGATGTCAAAAGAGAATAGTAAGGTGGGTCATCATCTCCTCCCACCCACACAATGAGCATGTAGTCAATTTCATGTACTCCTCAAGACCATTTCGATGAACACGATGTAGGAAATTGGTGACATTCTTGAGAAGACTGATCGTTACTCAAGAAACAAGCCATCCCTAAAACTACTCAAAACAATGAAGAAGAAAGACCATGCAAGTTGTTTTTTTGAAGCGATGGCATTTAAGTTTACAAAATTAACCAGAAGAAGTGAGTTGAGGCAGCCCACATACAAGCAATCATTTGTTTAAGACAAGTAATTAAACTTTTGCATTCTGATGAATCACACCAAGCCCTTTGTCTAAGACAATATATTATACATTTTCCAAGACACTAAATTAAACATGCACATTCTCATGAATCATAAATATCACTGCCACCTAAAACAACTTCACAACCATGACAACTATACTAAAAAATAAGCATTGGACAACAAGCCTATCACTCTAAATGAAAGATGCAGTCAGCAAGGGATAAAGCTCAAAAGAATAATCTTCCTTCGGTCATAAAGAGCAACAAACCCACGTATTATTGTTTTCAAAGATTTACAACTTCACATGTCTATGCGAGTGAAAATCCAACTCATGCATTCTTTATGAAGTAAAACTTCCCTGAGACGGAAAACGTTCTAAAGTTCGATTCCTACTACTAAACTACCCAAAAAAAGGGGACAATCATGGTCAACAAATGCCCAAGAAACATACAAGAAAAATATAAATAGAAAGTAAAAAGTCAGCTTACTGAGCCTTCATTGCATAACACAAAAAAGAACAAGGGGAAAGAAAAGTTCAATAGGTTAAGGAATTTAATAACTAAACGAGGCTCTCAATTAAAACACGTTTAATTGTAGCACATTATCAAACCAAAATCGCAACAAGTATTGCCTTTGGATTTGCTTTTTGACCTACTCGTATCCACAGCAATTGCTTCACACCTTGTTTGGGAAGCGTCTATACCACTTGAAGAAATGAAGCAAGAGTTATAGTTGAACTGCAAAGAAGACCATAGATATGCAAGTTAATTAAAACATAATTATCAGCAACAATTTCACAATCCCCTCATTCAAATGAAAAAACAAAGGAAAAGAACATGAATAGTAAAGACCTTCAAGAACATCAATTCTAAAAAGATCAAATTTAAAGTAAAAAAGCAATAGCAGCAGCAATTGAAAATAATAAAACCCAAATCAAAGATATATAAAAATTAAACCAATAATCATAACCTAAGCCTTGGAAATGTTTCACATAAATGTAAAACAAAGGAGTACCTCCTTGTTGTTGACTTTTGTAACCTTCAAAGGATAGAGCGCTTGTAAATATGATATTTTATAGTGGAATATGCACTTTAGTGGGATTGTGCGTGACTGACCGAGGGTTGGGGGCTTTATGGCCCTAATCATGTGGCACTACCGAGAAGGGTTTGCAGTAGGTCATCCCTTGTTGAGGTCGGAGAGATGCTCAAAGATGATGTTTGTAGGTCAGGAGAATTGTGTGGTCTCATGTGTGCAGTTGTAGGCCGGTGAGCGCAAGGTCCAAAGCCTCAACAAACTTCTGCACGACATGTACACATGACAACCGCATTACTGAGAAGTAGCCCTACAGAGGAACACGTGTACATGTGCATAGACAGAGCCCCCTGTTTACTGTGGTGATAAGTGCTAGACTTGCTTTTAAAGGAAGGGAACTGAAATCCACATTCCAAGATAATGGCCACACTGTTTTTTGTCCTACTTTAACAAGCCAATCATGAGCCCCCCTGAAATGAGATTGTGGGTCATGAGT